TGAAAGACCACAGAGTAAAGTGTCTTTAAATGATAAATGGTAAATGGGATTATAAAATGCTATCAAAATGTTAAAGAACACAGACATTTTAATGATGCTCCAAGGAGCCCTGTGCAAAGTTCCTTTTGTAGAAGAATTTTGTAGACTCTGGTGGCACAGTGGTTAGAGTGCAGCATTGCAGGCAAACTCTGCCAATAGCCTGGAAATCCATCCTGACAAAAGTCAAGGTTGACTCAGCCTTCTATCCTTCCAAGGTCGGTAAAATGAGGACCCAGATTGTTGGGGGCAATACGCTGACTCTGTAAACGGCCCAAATAATTCTGTAAAGCACTCTGGGTCAATATATAAGTCTAAGTGGTATTACTAATACACAGTCCTTCTTGCTGGTTGACATCCTATTGTACTCTTTGATCTGAAACTCCAATTTTCATGCGATGGATGACAGCACTATATGCATTAACCTTATTCCAAATGGTCTCAGTTATGCATACAGAAGCAAACATAAGCAGCATGATTCATTGACTAACAGCTAAACATTGTTCTCGGATTAATAAATAAATCTTAAACTACACTGTTATACCTTAAGGATAATCATATTTATTTCCACTTTTCATGGATATTTACAAGCGGAAGTTACACAAAGAAACTTTCATCTTGGAAATAAAACTGCCAGGCAGGATCTCCAGATCCAAAGGGATGAGCCTTACCCAAGTGGTGAATATCCTCTTGAAGAATATCATGACATTATTACAGAATTCTTCTAAAAGGTCTAAAAACATACTGTAAGAACAGCAAGAAAATGTGTAAAATGGCAAAAGAGCCATCTCCAAAATCTTTGGGGAGGTGTTATCTTAAAAGAAAAAAAAAGTGTCAGCAATGTGACTAGAAGGAATTCATGTGTCTGGGCCATCTATGATCTATCCATTTTAAATGGATCTGTGTTAAATTACTAGGTTAGAGGAAGTTGCATTTTTGAGAAGAATTGAAGTTAACACAATCTATTATTTATACTATAGCCAGGGGTAAAATACTACCAATTTGGGCTGGTTCTCCCAAACCAGTAGTAAAAAATGCTACCAGTTCGGATGAACCGGTATTTCCAACGATCAGCTGGGTGATAATCATCTGTGATGTGCGATTTATATTAGCTAGAATCGTCGGATTTCCTGCTTTCTATCTAATCTAAATCACATGGCACAGCGGATTCCCCTCCCCCTTGCTGTTCTACTTACCTTTGCAGACTCAGAAGGCTTCAAAATGTTCCTTTTTTAGTGCTGCATGGGCACACAGCGAGCTCTCGATAGCAGACTTACAGAACCAGTAGCAGATTTCAGAGGATTTCACTGCTGACTATAGCCAACTTTAATCCACAGCATCTTATCTTTTATAATTGATAACCACCCTAATAATGATCATGTTCTATTTATTGTGGGATTGCTTGTTAAAGTTCTTGTATACTAGCTAAACTAAATTGTGTTTATTGATTTGTTTCCCAAGCTTTATATCATGTGTTGCTCTGGCCATAATTTACTCTGAGTCTTTGACTGAACTACCACCAGTAATAAGGATTAAAAAAAATACAGCAATACTAACGTAAATTTCCCACCATGCAGAAATAACCTACACATAGAAGACATTCGTCTGCTAGGAGGGAATTAAAAAAGTACACCCTCTCAGACTTCAAAGCCTGTTTTTAAAAAACCCCATTTTAACAGTACAAAAGATTGTGAGATTTAGATATTTTTTTAGTGTTGTGGGGGGAGGTTGTTCCACAGATTAAGCAGCAACTTTGATTGATTGAGCCTGCCTAGGTGGCTCAGTGGCTAAGGCGCAGAGCTTGTCGATCAGAAAGTATAGGTCTCCTACGTGAGCAAGTGGTTGGACTAGATAACCTCCAAGGTCCCTTCCGACTCTGTTACTGTTACTGTTACTGTTAAACTGTTAAACTTTGATTGTTTGGCCCATGTTCAGGATATGTTTTTCTAATTTAGGTAATTAAATAAATAAATAAAAATCATTAAAATAAAATAGAAATGCTTGTGTCATCTTGTCTTTTTTTCCTAATTTATTTCATTTTAAATTGTGATTTTAATGGTTTTTATGTATTTAGATGATTATATGCACCATCCAGAGTCAATATGTGAGATGGACAGCCATGCAAATGTGATAAATAAAAAACCAATAAGTAAAAGATTAGTTTTCTCCTCTACTGATCAGTGCTTTATTTTGATTATGAAATGGCAGAACATTTTCATGGAAGATCTGCTATGACGCTTCAGGCATCCTTGCCTCCACCACTACCAATTCCCATTCAAAAAACAGTGAAACTAAGATGTATTTTTGCTTCCTTCATATCTTCTGTATTAATTCCTCAGTTCTTGCATGGACAAAATCTGAGCTCCCATGCCCCCAAAGTTAGCCAGCAGAACTGTTTTGGTTTTGAAGCAGGGATGAGCTTTCAAGATGAATTGTCATGGTCCAGTTTTCTGTTAACAACTGCGGCAAGAAAGCTCGTAAAACAGGGCAAAATCCACTTAACTAATGTTTCACTTAGCAACAGAAATCTTGGCCTCGATTATGTTGGCCTAAATCAAGGACTACCTGTAATACCCGTTCTGTTTCCCACCATAAAGGAAGAGTTTCACGTTACAGAACATCAGTCCTTGTTTGGCCCTGCTGTTGTGCAATACTTAAAAAATGAAAATATAAAAATGAAATAACCATCTAACAGTGCAATTATGATTTAATGTTAACTAATGATGGTCATTCTTATTCTTACATTCTCTGGATATTCCAGACTTGAACTGATGCTATTATCCTCTAGATAAAATGAAAACAGTTTTGTTTCGACCCAGATCGTTGGGGGCAATGTGCTGACTCTATAAACCTCTTAGAGAGGACTGTAAAGCACTGTGAGGTGGTATATAAGTCTCAGTGCTGTTCCCATTGCTATTTATTGACACGTAGGAAAATATTAACAGGCTGCGTTCCTTAGGCCTATCTGTCCAATAGCACCATCTGCTGTAAAAGAGGTATGTGCTGTTTTGAGAAGAAGAATGCATTTCTTTTTCTTTCTTTTTTTTTTTCATTTTACATAATACAGAAGGCATGGGAACAGGTCTTACCTTTTCTACAGCAGACTATATACTAACCTTTCCTACAGCATCTCTTCCATCAAATCAACTCCGTTTTGTTTCCAAACAGCCTAGATTAAGATGTTCTCGTTTCAGGAAGAATTTCCAGATTTGTTTTCAAATTTTGCTAATTCATTATTTGCAACTCATCGTCATTGTCATCATTATTTCTTTGCATGACTTTTGATTTTTCTAATCGAATAGGAATCACCTGAATTTTAGAATATGACTTGGTTGTACATACTTATGCGTATTGCATCTCATTGCACTCCTGACTTAAGTACCATGGTGCTTCTGGGTTAAAAGGATCACCCAGTGACATCACTGTCGCCCTGGGGGAAAACCAGTTGGGGGCTCCTTTCATGTAACTGGCAGGAGCTGGAGCAAAGGATGGGGGGCTCACCCTGCCCCATGGCAGCACTCAGATCTCAAACATGGGCTTACTAACCTCCTACTCAGTGTCCTAACTACATGAACCTCCACTCTCCTTACATATCATATACATATACATATACACTACATTTACACATACACATACACACAAAGGTTAGTATAATTAGATTTATTTATTTTTAAAAAAATATTTAAATAAAACAGGTTCAGATAATAGAGCAATGTCACAACTTTTTATTTTCACCGGTTTATTTATTCCTTCAACTTCAGGATCTATGTGCCAGATAAAGCAAAGGAGGATAAGATCAAAAAGAAAAAGAATCATAGAATCATAAATCATAGGCCTGGAAGGGATCTTCGAGGTCTTCTAGTCCAATTCCTTGCTCGGGGCAGAAGTCTTTATTCTATCCTGGACAAATAGTTGTCCAATCTCTTCTTGAAAACTTTCAGTAATGGAGCACCCACAACTTTGGGAGGCAAGCTATTCCATTGATTAATTGTTCTCACTGTCAGGAAATTTCTCCTTAGTTCCAGGTCAGATCTTCCTTTGCTCCTTGTCCTGCCTTCAGGTCCTTTGGAGAATAAATTGACCTCCTCTTCCCGATGACAGCCCTTCAAGTATTGGAAGACAGCTGTCATGTCACCCCTAAGCCTTTTCTTTGTTATGTTAAACCAGGGGTGTCAAACTCACAGCATCACATTATCATCATCACCCTCTGGAATCAGTTGCCCCCTGAGATAAGGAGAATCCATGACCTCAGTGCCTTCCGTCGTGCCCTTAAAACCCATCTTTTCCAGCAAACCGGGCTGGCTTAAGAAGAAATTTTTTAAATTCTTTTAATCGGTTTGTGATTTCTTAAATTCTGGGCCAAATTTATATATATTTTTAACTGTTTTTAATATTTGTATTCTATGTTCTTATTTTGGCTGTACACCGCCCTGAGTCCTCAGGGAGAAGGGCGGTATATAAATTGGAAATTAAATTAAATTAAATCATGTACTAAAACAGGGGTGGGCATGGCCAGTGCATGACGCATCTGCCCCGTGGGCCATGAGTTTGACACCCCTGTGCTAAACAAATGATAATAAATAAATGTTACACAAAATGAATTTTTTATTTCTAATATTAATTGTGTTATCTTATAATATTTATTTTATTTATAAACCAAAGGATGAGAGAGTAGAAAAGAGAATTGGTGTACCTTTCTACTGGAAAGTATTGGTTCGCCAGTTATTTTTCCAGCTATTTTTTTTTAATCTGACCATGGATTATGAATAAAAGTAGTCCTCAACCTACAACAGTTCATTTAGTGATTGTTTAAAGTTACAACAGACTTATGACCATTATTCACACTTACAACTGTTGCAGCATTTCCATGGTCATGTGATCAGAACAGAATTAGATAGTCAGATTGCTAAATGTGATTAATCAGTGTCTCTTATCGGTTTCTTATAGCATTAATGAAAACACACTTCTTTCAATAGAAATGGCATTTTATTAGTAATACCATGCATATACATGTGTGTATGTGTGTATGAGAGTGATACATATTCTAATAGTAACTTTTAAAAAAATCATAAAAACCTTTCAGATAGGTCTCAAGCAGGTCCAAAATATTCTGTTTATTATACAACACAAAGCAAGTCATTCCAACCTAGAAGCATAAAATCTCCACATTCACATCCCACTTCCACATCTGAAATCAAGTTCTGTAATTCCTGAAATATCTGATGTCATATTTGCTGCCTTTTTTATATAGCCCGGCTAAAACTTCTGTCTGACTTGTTAGTGAGTGAGTGAGTGAGAGTAAGAAATCAAGACAGCCTTTTCCCTCATGTCTCTGCAGACCTATATTAGAATTACAGAAAATAGAAGGGAAATATAAGTTTTGGCTTTTTTTAAAGCTCTTTGCCCTTATTTACCTTTAAAAGAAAAGCTGAGCTTCCATTGCTCTTAGAAAAGAAAATAACTGCACAATGTATAATATTATAGTTTTTATATTTTAACATGCCTAGGATCCTGGATTTGGCAAAAAAAACTTACATTTTTGAAATGTCAGTAATAAATCATCACATCCACGCTTACAATAATTGCTGTTGTTATTAGAACAGGACATGTGGCATATGTGCAGAGCATGCACAGAAGCCTCTGGCTATGCAACTGCCAAAAGAGGTTGTGAGCCAATGCAAATTATCTAATTCAGAACAGGCACATCATCCCAAAGTGCATCATTATGTCCTTGCAATACAAAGTGCTTCATTAAAACAAGCGAAAAGCATTCAAGTAGGCCAGACGGGTTAACATACTGAGCGCTGTCCATGGTACTGGTTTTATTTCTCTCTCCAAGAATCTTCACCTGTGCTGTATGCTCATGACTGCTGTCTACAAGATGTTCCCTTACCCTGCCTGTTGCTGAATCTTAAAACAATTTTTTGAACCTTGGACAGGAATTCAGAATTTAGTGATGAGATTGCAAGCTTATCTGCATAGTGTGTGGGGGGTGGGGGGGAGAGAGAGAGAGAGAGAGAGAGAGGGAGGGAGGGAGAGGGAGAGAGAGAGGGAGAAACCAGTTGCATTTTGCCCTTGTGCTAATAAATTTGGAAAAGGGTAGATTGGGCAGAAAAGTCCTGGAGTTTAATTTGGAGCATTCTACTTAAAAAACTTCCTCACAGTGTTCCCTCCTGCACTCCCAATGCCTGCATTAAAATGAGAGCTGCGGGGTTTGCTTATATGTCTTTCCATACAATTAAGCCATCTGTGCCTAAGCCAATAAACAATGAGAATGGAGCAATTGTATGGACCCAATAAGGTCCTGCCTTCAAGCAACCTTCCCAGTGACCCAAGCCATCATATACCTTCCTACTTAGCAAACACTAATGCAAAGGCAACAGAAAGTCTCTCCATAAAGCCATGTCTAATATACCCCCCAAATGTGGCTCTTCTCCAGGAATGAGTGGAATGAGGATCCTGTCTGTTTTATTTTTTTAAAAAAAATTGTTGTTCTTCCTTTGGACCTTGGAATTTTTAACTGCACTTTATAATGTTTTATGCCACTCAGAGTCATTATAGATTGGAGCAGATAGACACATGTACAAGTAATCCTCGAGTTACAACAGTTCATTTAATGCCCGTTTGAAGTTACAACGGCACTGAAAAAAGTGACTTATGACCATTTTTCACACTTATGGCCATTGCAGCATCCCCATGGTAACGTGATTTACATTTGGATGCTTCACAACTGACTCACATCTATGACAGTTGCAGTGTCCCAAGGTCATGGGATCACCTTTTGCAAACTTCTGACAAGCAAAGTCAATGAAGAAACCAGATTCACTTAACAACGGTGTTACTAATTTAACAACTGCAGTGAATCCCTCAACAACTGTGGCCAGACAAGTCGCAAGTGGGGCAAAATTCACTTAACAAAATTTTCAGTTAACAACATAAATTTTGGGTTCATTTGTGGTCATAAATTGAGAACTACCTGCATTAAAATAAAATTTAAAAAATCAAGTATATTTTATGGGTGAGAGGAAATTCATGATTGTGATTAATCAACTTAATCAATCCTTTTTTTAAACCCAAGTACTATACTTACTACATTTTGGGGGAAAGTAGTGGACTATATATATAAAATTGTGCGGCAAAGGCTAAAATTTTCAGAGGATAATATTTTCTTGCACTATGTGCATAGTACATGTATTTTGACAATTGACAAAATAAATGAATTCTCTGTAACTTTACTGTAGTTACTGTACTGTAGGAAGATATGGCCTATTTCACTCAACAGTCTGAAGACCTGATTGCACTTGCCAAACTATGAGCTAATTGCTTATAGATTAGTCTTTGTATGGACAAGTATAGTGAAATATGGGACTCATTTAAACAAAATACAGTAAGTTAAAAACAGTTGCATTAGAAATATATATGTACTTGAATAATATTCGCATTAGATAAGTATATATAGAATTTTATGTTTACTGTGAAAATGATTTATCATACCATTTTTTTACTTTGTCATATTTCTTTCACTTCTTGTTAAAGCGCTTTTTGTTATTGATCAAAAAGCAGTAAAAATCAAGTTTAAAAATCAGCTTAATCAACCCATAGTTCTATCTGCACAAATCTTATGATGACAATCTTTGACATTGTTCTTCTATAGCTCTGAGTTATAGAAGTAAAATCCAATTTATATAAACAGAATATTTTTCAAAATGTCTTCTGGCTCTTCTGTTTACCAAATTATGATATTCCAGGAACCAATGGCTTAACTGCATATGTGCAAAGGCATATTGTCTTTAACATATGTCTATGTGCACAAAGGGCACACCGAATGAAGAGAGTCTGGAGCAATTTCTGTATTTCTTGACCTAAAACCATCTTGCATAATTGTCACTGTGCATACAATTCCACCATAGGTAAAACTAAATTTACAAACAGATGGTAAGAACAGGGAAACAGCATAAACCTTGGAGTGCAGATGTGGATTTTATGTTCAGGTCTCTACCATTTAAAGTTTCAAGTTCCATCAAAATAATTACAAACAATGGCTTTTTGTGAGAGAGCCAAATACCATCAACAGATCTTTGTAGACCATCCAACCATCCTTAGCTATATAATACATGTTGTATAATTTTCACAAGAAATGAAGGCTCACATAATAAGGGAACTTTAAGGCACAATATTTCATATACTCAACCACACATTCATCAGCCACAAAAATACAGAAAGAAAAGTGCAGAATACTGTACATGTATTCTAGAAGCAATATCTCATCCATAGTTTCCACTGAATGAAGTAGGGTTGTATTTCTAAAAGTTGTTACACAGTTTATGCAGTCTTTCAACCTGAAAATGAGGCATACAAAATTCATCTCACTATTTTAGAATTAATACAAACTAAGGCTGAAATGTTGATACAATTCACATTTCCAAATGGGCAAAAACTTGACATTAGCTTGAATAATCCAAATGCTTCTATAGCTATGGTGGTGAAGGCTTTGACTTGATCTTAAAAATGGTTGGTAAATCAGTACACTTTTTACACAACTAAGGTCAGCTACAATAACTTGTACCCTGCTATTTTTTTTAACTTCATTTTTCTTGGACAGATTAAAGTGCTAACGGATACATTCAGTGATTACAAAAAAAGCACTGAGGTTGATTTGATTGAAGCCAAGCTGAGATTGATTACTGACTCTGTCTAAGCTAAGTCCTTGTAATACCCCAATCTCTAAAGGTTGACAGGCAAAAAGTTGGTGTCCATAGCTGATTTATTTACATTTTTTTTAAAAAAAATGCTAGCAAATGCATGCAATGTTCTACTGAGTATTAAATAGCTGATGCCACTTTAAAAAAAAAAAAGATTTCAGTTTCTGATCTCACCAGCTGAGATGGAATACTGAAAGATAATTCTAACTGTATCTGGTTGTATGAACTCAGACCTGTGCACAAAGCTCAGCATGCAAAGCGCAAGGAATTTAAAGCTTGTTAATTATAATTAAGCAAAAAAGGATCCAAAGAAACCCATCACATGTAGGCTTCAAAGGAATTAAAATAGATTGAAGGAGGGGGCCATATTACTGGGGTAAGGAATGTGTTTGTCATGCAAGAAGTTCCTAGCTTTAACTGATGGGGTGACCAGTTCAAAGAGTCTTGAATGACACTTGTAGGAGATACTGTATTAGAAAACTATTACTAGTCACAGCAGACAGTACTTCATTTTGAAAATGCCATTGTTCGTTATAGTGGTAACATTTGCCACTTTTACAAAACTAAAAGCATCTTTCAAGTTATTATCATATTTAGCTTAAAACACTTACCATGGTGCCAATTAGAGAAGATTTTTTGGGATAAACCAGATCTTGGTTCAGAAGAATTAGCTCTCAGCTGGGAAGGGCTATTTTTAACACATTTGTAAATAAATGACAGAATACATCTTGCCATCTAAAGGAGGACCATGGGCTGTACTTAAAAGTTTTGGAAAAGGTGAGGTCTATGAGAGGTGAAATTATGAAGCAAAGCAATGGAGCTATGTGACCTAAATGGGCATGGACAGGATTTTTTTTTTTGTCTTTTTCTCTCTTATCTTTTTAAGCAGGGGATCTAAAATACCAGATACTGTTGGTACATGACATGACAGAAATTATCTACAAGGTATAAAGGCATTCCAAATATACAGTATGCTAGAAATGTGAACAACATGAAGATACATTTTGAAAAGCTTTAAAATTGGATTGAAATACATACATTGATAAAAAGGATGTTAGAACAATATTCAATTGAAGTCAGAATTTTCCCATTTAAGAATGATGGTTGGGGAAAAAAAACTTTATGACTGATTATTTCAATATATGATTACTGTGGCGATACTACTATATATACAAAGATGGAAAGATTCAGTGCTAGCTGCCATGGAGGAATGGTTTTCTGAGATGGACAAGTGACCTTCAATTAAAGAAAGGGCAATATGTACATTTATTGGTAATTGGAAAGCCCTTATGGACTTAAAGGAAAAAAAATGACCTTGTGATTTATGATTTTGATGATTACACAAGATATAAAAAGAAAAGAGTCATGATTTAACTTTAGAGAGAGCGATTAAAATAAAATTGAACTTATAACTGCTGTGAGGAATATCAGAATATCTTTATACTTTTATACCTTTCACTTTTTTCTACTTTTTTCTATTTTTTTCTGTATTGCACTTTTAGTTTTCCTAAAATTATTGGTATTTCTACCCTTTTTTCATTTTCTCTGTACTAATTTAGCTGTATTCTTATAATTGTTTTTAAAACTTTTAATAAAAGTATATATATAAAAAATAAAATACTATGCTAGAGAGGGGGCATAGTTTAACTAAAGATACTTAAGGATGATCAATCACTTCTATGATCTTATAGCTACTTTAACAGATCACATTCTTTGGATTTTCAATTATGGCCAGATACTTTCAAACTGCTTTGCATAAGGCTTAGCATAGATAAATAATAACAAATACTGGGGGGGGGGGTGTTTTTTGTTTTACAAATCAACATGTTATCAAGCAATACAAAACAAACAAGCTGCTGGGAATGTAACATTGGAAAATTTGCCAGAGTTTGTATGCAAAAAAGGTTTAAGTGAAATGACCCAACAGTTCCCAGCAATTCACATGCATTAACCTTTTTTTAGTTACAATAACACTAAGAGTAATTTCATGCATTTTTAGGTGGAAGTAAAACTCCTTGGTTTCAAGAACTTATACTCAGGGAAGTGACTATAGGAATACAGCTATAAGAAGGGTTGCGTGTGTCCACATTTAACTAAGGGTGTAAAGTGATTATGTGAACAAATTGGAAGTTTCTGCCCTGAAAGAAAAGGGATGCTGTTTGTTAAGAAGGACCAGTATACTGACAAAAGACTAAGATGAAAAGGGCTATCAAGTGATAACAAGGCAAATGAAAGCTGTTATCTAGGACTGTTTTCCATCTATCAGTTTCCCTTTTTCAGGATCTGATAGGTAAAAGTCTGCCATTTTAGATGGTATTTTAAAGGCATATGAAAGGAAAACAAGATATTCGGTACTGCACGATACTCTTTCTAGGCTGGGCCATTCTCCATAAGAATATTAATCTATTAATAATGTCACAGTACTGTAATGCACATGTCTAATGTCTAAGAGCAAAGCTCACTCAGGTTGTAACAGGCTTCACATGGAATGGGCTCCATTAGAAAAATATCACACTGAACGCAGTTCCTAAGAATTCTTGGGGGGAATTACCATTAATTGCAATAAAAGAGCTATCAGGGTTTCCTTTCCGTAACTGACAGCATCTTAGCTTTGGAAGCAGGTTCTTTTTTGCACACACCTGCCTAGTATTTCTCTTTGGCATTTTTTGAAGAGAACTTTGGCACCTGCAACTTCTCCAGTGATCTTCACCATCATCTCTCTTCCTTATAGGGTACCTTCAAAACTAACTAAAGACATTTCACGTACTCCTGTGGCATTCCTACATCAATTGGGACAACATGAACGGATTTGTTGTCTCTTATGGCAATCTGATAAATTCAGAAGAACATCTGATCTCCCCAAATTATATAAACACCCCACGTACACATAACAGTAGGCAAAAAAAATTATTAATACTGATTGTATTAGGCCAGGGACAAGCAGACATTAGATGAAGATCTTTCAATAGATCTGCTAGTGGATTGCAAACATTTCTGTACAACCAGTGGTTTAACCAAAACACCACCAGAATATTTTCTACCAATGAAATTAGATTGCTGAATGAAGAAAGGATAGGAAGAGGGACTACATGTGAATATTCATCTCCCAAGGAATGAAATCCAAAAGACTATAATCTGATACCAAAAAAAAACATGCCTCAGCTCAGCATACTGTATACATATAAACAATATTTTTTTTTTTTTAAAAAAAAAAGGAAATTTTGGTCCCACTTGTTCTATTAATATTTTGCTCCTGGCTATGAGTGTTAAATCAGAAAACTTTCTTACAATTATACTGGGATGCTAGTTTTTTTTAATCTTTTTTTTAAAGATGCTGTTCCCACTTTTATGATAGGTATCTGAATTCCTAGAGCCAACTCAGTATAACAGAGATCCAGAGAGAGGATTCTGGCCAAGTTTAAGAGAGTAAATGAATGTGGCTCCCCTGCTCATCCCAATTATTGATTTCTAGGCTGTCAATATCATTTTATTAAAATCACCACTGACTTAAACAGAAACCAAGCATGCTAGCAAATAAATGATTAAGTCTAGATGATTAATGCTGTTGAATATTTCAAAAAGAGGGTTGATATAAATGAATCAATATTTTTAACGACTGTAAGTCTTTTTAGACTTTCTGAGAAGTAGTTATCCACCCACTTTAAACTTCACTTTAGACCTGCCAGCATATTATCCTCTTATTATCAGTCTACATTTCTAAGGAAAGGTGGTATAATTTAGCAGTTAAAGTTAGTCTGAATATATACATATAGAAAACTGGACAGCCAACAAGCACTTCACCCTTAGGGCTCACGGCTTATTAGAAATTCCAGGTTGCACTGTTTTCACATGGACACCATCATTGTGCAACCAAGCAGCCTCAAGTCTTAAATGCCACCACTGAAGCGTTCTGCAATATAGCTGAAAGTGACTTGAACCATTGATCTCACCCACGTTTGCACATTAATGCATCACTTTAGCAAAGTAATAAGCCATCCAGGCATCCAGAAACAAATTAATCCATGTCTTTTAAAAACAACAACCCTCATTTCATTTTATAAATAAGCAATTGAGAATTTTGCTCTAAGTGGCCACTTGAATAGCCCACTCCATAAATGGCATTCTCCGGAGAATAAGGCACAATATGATATGAATGCAGTTCTTTGTAATAAAGGGACTGAGAACGACATTCTTGTACCATAAACTTCAGCCGTTTTCTTGTATCCGAATAGGCAGTCCGACAGCATGAGTTTTCCTTAAGATACTCATAGCGTTCACGCTCAGTTTCCAGATGAATTTTCCGCAACAAGTTATTAATCAGGACTGAGCGGCGGAGATAGAGCTCAGGATCTTCAAGAAACTGAAGCTTCTGCAGAGACAGTTTCAAAATACAGGTCCGATCTTCAGGTAATATCAGGTGCTGAGCAAAAAGAAAAAGTGGGAATTGTCAAGGAGAGGAGAAAATACATGTAGCACAGAATAGGCCTGCCAGAGCTGCACTGCAAAAATATAATTGACCATGAGATAGCACCAAAGAGACACCACAATGTTTAATGTTAAATTTACCATATTTTTCGGAGTATAAGATGCACCGGAGTATAAGACGCACCTACCTTTTTTGGTGAGGAAAAGAAGAAAAAGAAATCTCCCTCTGCCTCTGCCTCTGCCTCTGCCTCTGCCTCTACCTCTGCACAATTTTGCCTTGTTGCAGCAAACAGCAAACAGCCTGCTTTACTTTCATTTTCATTTTCAGCATTGCTTGATTAGCACAAGAAAGAAAAAAAAAGCTGCTCCCAGCAATTTACCTCATTGCAGCAAGCAGCAGAGCCTGTGCAAAACAGCTGAGAGCAAATCAGCTGAGAGTCGGGAGGCAGATGGAATCAACTTGTGCTAATTAGGCTGTGCTGAAGCTGAAAGGAGCTGTTTTTTCCTTGCTGTTTGCTTGCAAGGAGGTAACTGCTGTGAGGCAGAGGCCAAAGGGTGGGGGCTAGTGGGTGGGCGGGGCTACATTTGGTGTATAAGACACACCTAAATTTTCACCCCCTTTTAGGAGGGAAAAAGGTGCGTCTTATACTCCGAATAATACGGTATATTTACCAACAAAGAAATAAAGGGAGACTAGTATAGATCTATTTCAAGCTATTTAGCTCTCATCAGCTAGCCATACCCTTCTGGGATTCTAACCCGGGGAATCCCAGAAAGGGTATGGCTAGCTGACAAGAGCTAAATAGCTTGAAATAGATCTATACTAGTCTCCCTTTATTTTTTTGTCGGTAAATATAAATTTAACACAAAAAAAATAAGTTTGTCACAAAAATGACTGCCTGCAAAGGCTCCTGGATTGGGGCTGAAAGGCAAAAGCAGAAGCCGTCCCATATTTGGGTAGACCAGGTTGCCCTGATAAAAAAAAAAACACTTAACAATGTTTCATGTTTTCTGCAATCAAGTGATTGAAATTTTTGCAGCCCACGCTTCTAACCCAGGGACAGAATCAAATTGGGGTCTTAGTTGATGCTGAAGAACAGCAAGATAACCAGATAGAAATGTGTATCATCCGAATCTATCATTATCCCTTGTGAAGGCAGGTGATGTTTCTCCCCTCCTTTGTTGCTTCCAAATGCCTCCATGATCTGTTCTGTAATGAACTGCTGAAATTCGACACTCCAATTTGCTGCTGGAATTTACTGGCATTGTTTGGCACCTATTTTTACCTCTTTTTAAAAGGGTTATTATTTTAGAAAATATCGTTGATTAGACACTGAAAATATTTTATGGAGCTTGTGTGAAAAATTGGTAAGGGGGGTTGTAAGTGCTTTCTTATGTTTTTTTTTCCCCTTATGTTATATTTTTCCATAATGTGGAAGGGTTGGAAGATGTTGCCCCTGTTTATTTAGCCACTACCACCAGCAGACTTGCAACTTCTGACAACCAAGAATACAAGTCCTTTCCCATGAATTGGGCCATCAGCCTCATCCCAGGGTGGAGGGGGAAATTGGGTAGCAGAGGGGGTCCACTATGAAAAGAGAAGCCCCAGGAGTTCTCAAAGAGCCTATGGGTTGAGCTGGGCATTGTGAACCAAGAGACCTTGCAAGTGACTAGGTGGCTCAGGGGCTAAGACATTGAGCTTGTCGATCAGAAAGGTCGGCAGTTTGGTGGTTCGAATCCCTAGTACAGGTCTCCTGCATGAGCAGGGGGTTTATTTATGTATTTATTTATTGGTTCAATTTATATGCCGCCTTCTCCGGAGACTCAGGGCGGCTTACAATGCGTTAAGCAATAGCCTTCATACTTTTGTATATACCTGCTTAGTAGGGTTTTTGGCCCCCCCAAGCGGTGTTCTTTTTTTATACAAAGTCAGTTTATTGCCCCCACAATCCGGGTCCTCATTTTACCTACCTTCGAAAGGATGGAAGGCTGAGTCAACCTTGAGCCTGGTGAGATTTGAACTCGCACTAATTGCAGGCAGCTGGCAGCTAAGTGCTATTTTAACAGCACTTTAGTCCACTGCACCACCAAGGCTCTTGGACTAGATGACCTCTAAGGTCCCTTCCAACTCTGTTACTGTTACTTCCAACTCTGTTACTGTTACTAAGACCTTGCAAGCTTCATTTACATAGGAGATCTTCATGGCCTCTTTTCCTCTTTCTTACCATCTCAAGACGGTTTTATTTCATCAGTCATTAGTTCTTCAAATATAAATCTAGTACAACTACCATATACTGTATACTGTAAATGTAATTTATCTGTGTTGCAATTAAGAACAAATTCATGTTAAAATTGTTGCTTTTAACAGTTATCCATGCACTCCAAGTTAGGATGAAAATGCAGCTATATTAATTTCATATTTGTGATATTAACCAAAACATACTCACTTTTGGAAAATACCCTGGGTAATCTTGATGTAAATCTTCTTCTTCTGCATATTTCCTCTTAAAGTAGGCTACTTTCGACGTTGTTAAGGTATTTGTCAATACTTGGCTTCAATATGCAAACAAGAAGGATTCATCGTTATTTTAGCAGCCCGACAACTTCATGACACTGTAGCATTTTACAATGACTTCCTTCAAATCACAAGCATTTTGTTTGCATTGATTTGAATGTTAGAAGGGATTGGTTCTAATATTATGGAATTGTGTTAGATGCAGGCAACCAGAACTATTTGTGAATATCCTCAGGCAATAACTTTTATTGTTTATACCTAAGGTATGTTACATGAATCTCACCAGGCTGCTTGCCTTCCCCTGGGAACGACTAGATCAGGGGTCAGCAACCCACTGCTCTGGAGCCGCATGTGGCTCTTTCATCTCTCTGCTGCGGCTCCCTGTCGCTGGTTGGCACCACAATTTTGAGAGGAGCTTCCGGTTAGTGGGGAAAGCATGGCGTGTCAGGAGGCAAGGGGTGGGTTTTCCAGTCAGCTCCACAATTGATAGAGCTTTTGGTTAGGACAGGTAGAGGAAAAAGGACACCGCACTAGGAGGAGACTCTATGGTGGAGGAACCAGACTTCCGGTCTGCTCCAGAATTGAACAGGGGGCTTCCGGTTAGGACCTTTGTGGCTCTTTGAGGGTTTAAGATTGCTGACCCCTGGACTAGATAATGCTTCATGAATTTGGGGGGAGGTCAACATATGCCATTTGAGACTGCACAACAACTTCAAACTAGTCCCTTGCTTGACCCCTCCCTCCAGACTAGCTGGCAATTCCCCAACAGCTTGAGATCTTTAAAATGCATACAATATATACATAACAATAAGGTTAAGAAAGTTCATTAAACGTTCATTAAAGTATAGCATGGTGCTCAACTTTACATGTGGCCCCTAAGCAATTATTTGTATTTTGTTTTCACAGAAAAGGGAAATCTAAGGCCCTCAAAGGATTTCCAGGCCAATTAAAGACAGGCTATACTAATAGACACAGATAAACCCACAGATACTATTCAAGCAATCCAGCAGTTGATGTATAACAGGGTAGATCTCTCTCTTGTTCTTGGTGAAGGCAGGAATAGAGTTTTCCAAGTGACTGTTGGTTCTTTATACAGTCTCAGAGCAACAGGGGCTATAATTCACATGCTCTAAATCATTGATGAGCACTGCACCAAAACAACATGAGCTGCCCACGTAAATTTGTATTTATACACTGTCCACTTTCCTCAGGCACTGAGGAAATTCTAAAGGTTCCCGCTTTTCATGGTACAAGTTTGTTGCTAAATTAGAGTGATGGGTTCATGAGCTGTTTGTCCTTAATACTTATTTTCTACTTTTAACAAAGCCTAACGGTGCATAATCAGATTGATTTCCATGTTGTTTAAAGTTTTCTAATACTTCAGCTTTAACGAAAAGTCAATTGCACTGTGCAATATGATCTTGGACAGAGGGTGCCAATCATAAAATTATAATAAATCATAAATTGACACCACAATGACATTATGCACTTCATTGTATTGGCATCATTTGTACAAAGATTAATGTATATGGAGGGTCAAGTCTACTGCCTTCCCTGCTTCTCCCTATGATTGTCCATTATTATTTATTTTTTGCATGTGAAATGCAACCTTTATATACTTCAAAAACCTGCCTCTGTCATTCTAAGCCTGCACAGCTGTTGCAGCTTCACTTTCAACACTGTTTTTTCCCCATACAGAGATGTATTTTTGGAGTACTTTATACACTCATCACAAGATGGCAGTGGTGCCACACTGGAAATCCAAGCAGTCCTCTCCCATGTTCAGCCCAAACTGATCAGCTAGTAAAAATTGTGCAGTCTGCTCATTCAGGGGGTGGGGGGGACAGACTCTCTTCCCCAGTTTCTGTGTATTTTCCTTTGCCTTCCCTAAAGCCTTAAAGCTTTCCAGAAAGTGCGGCAATCCTTTAGTCTACTTGGATATTTTTTTACCTTTTTTAAAAAAAAATTGACCAATTAAATTTTACAACATGAATCTGACAGCCTCTTAGAAAATGACAGCTTGTTTTAAAATGAGTGCAAGTCTTTTGGGCCAAAAATGAATTCCCTTTATTACACAGTGTCACTATCAGCTGCATTACAAAGACACCTGCAAAAAGAAGATAGTGTTTGTCTGTGGAGATTCTCAGTCATCCAGGTCATGATTGTCCCAAAGGTGCTTTTTTCAAGAGGCAACTGGACTTTCTGATTTTTCATTGAAGACGTTTTGCTTCTCATCCAAGAAGCTGAAGAAGCTTCTTGGATGAGAAGTGAAACGTCTTCAAAGAAAAACCAGAAAGTCCAGTTGAAAAAAGCACCTTTGGGACAAGATTGTGTTTGGTTCTGAAATTATTGTAGCACTGAATATTTTAAGCTTCAGTGTTCACCTGATAAGTGTTGACTTAAAGTAACTGGAAAAATAGCTACTTTATCTATTAATCTTTTAAGGAATTCACTATATTGCAATCATGACTGAAGGTTGTCTGAAGTTGTCTAAAAGCTGAATCATTGCAACTGGGCTAATCGGACTAACCTTCAGAAAACTTCAGGCAACCTTCAGACATCTCTGCCTGGATGATTGAAAATCTTCACCAACATATTGCAATCATGACTATTTTTTTCCTGGATTATTTAATAATAATAAATACTAAATCCAGGAATAGAGCTATTGGGAGAATCACCACCATTATATTCTTATTTGTAATTTTTCTTGGAATGTCTACAGATAGAAACATTTTCAAAGTTTCTGAGCAGAAATTTCTAGTCAGCTGAAAAATGTTCCAACTGCTTTCTTGCAAATCAGTTTCCAACTGCTAAATTCCTTTATATGGTAACAAATCTAAAATCCTGTCCTTGGTTTGACAAAAAAAAGACATAAAAGAAGTTATGAACCAGAAGCTATGGTCAATTCCAAACATTTCTTGCAAAGGGAAAGGAAAAGTTTGGAGCCAAAACTGAAAGTGAGTTCTAAGAAGCAGACATGTTGACATTATGGAATATACAATTACTATATATTCTTGGCAGCATGAATTCTTTACTTCATAACCCAAGTGAAAGTTAAATCTCATGGGTGTCCTTGCTATCTAATTAGTTGGCAATGATCCATCTGCGTTACTCTTTGCATTTGCAGCGTTCCACTGGGGAAAAGCAAGGATGAAATTTCTCCTCTTATTTCAATAGCCTGGCCAGTCAGATTAATAAATCATCAAGACAAAATCATTGTTTCTCCAGCAGGGAAAATGGGTTAATTGCTTCTATATACATGAAACTGAGCATTCTCATGCTCGTATGTACGTCTCTCACACATGCACATCAATATAATTATTTTCATTTCTTAGATTGCCCCTGACTGGATGTCAAATGTAGGGATTTCTCATGTCCAGAAGAATGTGGCACTTCCAATGTCAGCTGTGTAGATTGAAGATGGAATGTACATCAAACCTACCCACCATTAATAGAGGCTGGCCGTGAGACATAGCCTGCAATCTCAGAACCATCAAAAGGTCCATTAAGTTCCTTCTTTAGTTTGATTGGAGACCAGAGAACTTAATATGAACACCATAAACCAGAGGTCTTCAAACTTGGCAGCTTTAAGACTTGTGGACTCCAACTCCCAGAATTCTGGGAGTTGAAGTCCACGAGTCTTAAAGCTGCCAAGTTTGAAGACCTCTGCCATAAACCTTGTCATTTATGTAATCACAGCAACACCACAGCATTATGGTTCCAAATGCTGTTCACTGTTAAAGTAGAAGAAGAAAGTTCAGCCCTGTTTCAGAGAACATAGCTAGATCTCATATACCTTCTTTGGCATCTCAACACTCCCTGTCCCATGTGACTGTTCTTTTTTCCATTAAATATTTGTCAGCTGCAAAATGCTAGCTCCAGCCTCATCTTTAATTTCCAAGAATGCCTCTGAGTTCCACAGAGGCTTCATGTGGAATTTTTAAAAATGGAGTGACCGCAGTCTAATGTTTCATTTGCAAATGCACTCACCTTAAACTCAGACTTAGATTTAGAATAATTTTGTTGTCACTAAGCTAGGTTGGGAGGCTAGAGGCAGTGACAGAGAATAATCCATCTCCTTTGTCTTCTAGAAAATGGAGGCTTCCACCCGTTGTGGTAAACATTTTGACAATAGGTAAGCCCCTCCCCCATGCATCAACTCCTGAGAGCACAAAAGACATGCTATCCACGTGCCAAACATGTCCATTTGGTCCTATTGGTCCATATTGTTGCCATGGGGTTCTGGAGAGCCAGAAAAGAGCAGTGACAGGGACCCTGCTCTGGAAAACAAAAAAAACACTTGAACCAGGAAATTCCTGTTTATAGCTTCCTCACAAGGTTGGCCTCTCTAGACTGGTATTTTCCCATTTTGATTAACAGTAACTTTAAACGGGTGTCAAACTGAAGGAAAGGAAGAAAAATACAATCCTGATCACTGCTTAGAGATGCTGTGGCAGGAAAACAGGCTCAAGACCTAAAGAAAGAAAACAGTTGGGCTTTATATACCAAAGATTGCTCTCATTATGGGGATGGATGGTTTATTTCTGGTTCATTACAGGTTCATAGCTACCCAGATATAAATGAATTCAGTCATGGCTTTGGCAAATATTAATTGAACAACTGCATGGAAATGTACTTTTAACAGTATCAGATGTTTCCTAAATGGTATAGTTCTATAGCCATTGTCCTTACACGGAAAAGTTCACATTTTTGAACATGGTTTCCCCAAACAAACATTATATGTTATTGTGAACGTTTTGTGCACATTCTGTATCCAAGAATTACACTGTAAAACCTGAAGGATAATTGTATTCTAAACTGCATATTAGCCCAGAATGTTTGAATCAGGTGAGTGGATTTACAAATGGGGACCAAATTCTTCATGCACTTACCTGGGATTAAAGGACAGATGTAAAACATAGATATAAACATCCTTTCAGAAAGTTTTAATGACAAGCCCCTAATACTTCTCTTCTTATTCATGAGTTAAGTTTAAGTGCTCCTGTAAATTTAATTTCCAGCTCCCTTGGGAGTTGGGCGGCATAGAAATGCGACAAATTAAATAAATAAATAATAATAAATTAATTAGATCTTAAATTAAAAAGCCAGTTTGTGTAGTAATTCTTGGTATTGGACTAGAAATCCAGGTTCAAGTCCATCCTCAACCATAAAAAGAGCTGTTCATTCTCCTTCAGCTCAACCTTATATGGAAGCGTATATGGAAATATAAAATGTGTGAAGTGGCACCTGTTCCTTAAACCTATATCTGTTGGTGAACTTGGAAATATCTGATCCCTTAAACAGGCAGAATATATCTATGGGACATCTTACTATTGCTTTAAAATGGTGTGCATTGTTCTAGTGGCCCAATCTACAAAATGACTGCTGCTCCATCTAGATCAGGGCTGTCAAACTCCTGGCCCACCAGCCAGATGCGTCACGCACTGGCCACGCCCATGCCTGGTTTAGCAAAGGGGGGGAAAGCCCCAATATGTCATGTGATGCCACCATGACAACATGAGTTTGACACCCCTGATCTAGATCAACATTATCCATAGAAGCTAGCAAAATGTTTTCTAGGATTTTCCAGGCAAGAATAGAACTGTCAAGAATTTGGTCTGGGACCTCCTGTCCATGAGCCTCAATGTCTCTCTATTAACAGTCCCATTGCAATTGCTATAAAACTTTATATCATATCAGATTTACTCATCTCTAGATTTGCCCATTTTGTCTGTTTTAATCCAGCTTCCCAGAAAAACAATTTCATTCACTGTTGTTGTTGTTGTTGTTGTTGTTCTAAAGCACTGTCACTAAAAATGTAGATGTTCATTTGTAAAGGATTACATATATTTTTAATGACGAATCCTATATGTCACTGTTGAATTATGAGAGCTATATAGCATTCTGTCTTCTGTATAGCAGGTAGAAATAACAAGATGAGGATGTGTTGAGGATGATGAGAGCATCAAAGTGTGAAAGATTTGGTTGGGTGTCATTTTCTGCTGGAGATTTTCTGGAGAAGATAAACTATCTGGTGATATACAACTCATCATTTTTTTAAAAAAAAATCACTTTATTTTCATTTCAATTTGGCAATTTTCTGCCAGATTTTTATGGATTAATAAATCAGTTGAAACGGTCATTGTCCCTTATATTTCCATTTTCTAACATACATAAGAATCAATGTCTTGTAGTGATTCAGGTGCTGGACTAGAAATGGAGAAACTCAGGTGAGACAGGTTTCTCCCTTGAGACAGAAACCAGATGGCTGATTTTGGGCCAACGCTCTCTCTCAGCCCTCATCTGGGAAGTTAAAATAGATTTATCTACTAACTAGATAAATGTTGACAGCACTTTGACCCGCCTGATGGAATGAGCTCCCATCAATTTGTCCCAGCTCCTGACAACCTAGCAGTTTGAAAGCATGCAAAGGCAAGTAGATAAATAGGTACCACTTCAATAGGAAAATAACAGGGACATTAAAGGAGCCCCCTCCGGAATCCCCTGAGCAATGGTGGATGTCATCAACTAATCCTATCAACCCGTAAGCTCCTTGGTAGATGCTTCCGACATGAAAGTTAGTAGTAGTAGTCTACTAACTAAGACTGCACCAGCATTATAGATGTATATGAGTCCTTTAAAATGATACATTTCCTTGCCTTTTTTCCTTGGCGTATAATGTTTCATGTTTCTATAATCTGTACATATATCTACCACAAATGTATCCAACTTTCAGTAATGCAGCTTTTTTGTGTAGTTTTTCATTGGTTTAAACAACACAAGAAAAACTACTGGCCAGATTTCGTATGTTATCAGTGTCTATGCTTCTGTACAGTCCAACAGGATTGAAATGCCATATTTTGCTCCCAAAATTCTGTGGTACCATTCTTCTGGAATATTGAGGATTATGCAATTATGGTGAATGCTTTCAGCTACTTCATAAATGCCACATAAATTTCATGAGTTGTACTGATTGGTTCCAAAGCACTGTAATATATACAGATGCAATCAAAAGTTAACTCAAAATCATGAAGGATAATTTAGTTTATTATTGTCGCATTGAAGTTTTGCGGTGTGATGAAGCCACCAGAGTGGCTTATATGGAACTGTTCAACCTTCTCAAACATGTGCTTAGATGTTAGTCTTGAACTATGTTATGGCCCTAAAGCTGAGCAGCAAAAGAAGGCTAGGATAGTGGGGTTGAGGTAGACAACAAATCGGTTGGATCTAATAAAGTGACCAAAATGGATAAACATTTGCAAGGAATGCTTCAATTTGGACCCTTGTATTTAATAGAAAGTTATACGTGATGATATAACTGGCATCCTCTGTTCTATACTTCTATGAGAATCAAGCATGAAGCCAAAAAAGTAGAGAGGTTCTCTGGTTCTCTCTAAACTTAGACTAAGAATTCAGCCCAGAATCAACAGATTTAAAGGAACATGAAAGACATGCTAGTTTTTCTGGAGCACCAAGTTAGGAACTCCTTTGGCTATCTATAGTGGCACCACAGTCCAATGCAGACTAACCATGAGTTCTATGAAACACAATATAGAACTATTTTCCCCTATCTGATGCTCTACATATTTCTAATCACAATTTACATGTTCTCTAACCAGAAAAATTAGTGATCAGAAAATGCAATACAACACATCTGGAGAGAATCTGGCTGGAGAAGGCTGTCATGAGGAGTAAAACATCCGATTGCTGATGCCAGTATCTTGAGATTGAAGTTCCAAACTCCTTCAGAGACTTACAATGCCCGTGCTTTGTTGTTTCTCACTTTAATTAAACCCAAGCAATATGTTGTACCTTGTCGTGCCAAATCAATCCACAAAGTGACTTCTTGCTGTGCTTTCAGTGGTTCTAATGAGTTTCTGTCTTCGGAAAGGCTTAGCTAGCATCGCTTCCCACACAGTTCTGCTGAACAAACACCTGTTAAAATGAATCAAGGGAGGAGGAAGAGAGGAAAGAGGGAAAGGAAAGTGAGAGAAAGAAGAGCATACAAGCATCCCAAAGCAAACTTTTTCTGGTGTGAGGAAATATCCTGAAAGTATTTGCTATCCTATCCTAGATCTTGCTTACTGCTTACTTACCTACTAGGAAATGGGAAAATGTCATATCAGGGGTGAAATCCTGCAGGTTCTGAACAGGTTCTAGAGAACCGGTAGCGGAAATTTTGAGCAGTTCAGAGAACTGATAACAGAAATTCTGAGTAGTTTGGAGAACCGGCAAATATCACCTCTGGCTGGTCCCAGAGTGGGGAGGGAATGGAGATTTTGCAGTATCCTTTCCCTGCCACGCCCACCAAGCCACACCCACCAAGCCACACCATGCCCACCAAGCCATGCCCACAGAACCGGTAGTAGAAAAAATTTGGATTTCTGGGTCATATCCAAGGTTATTGAGAAAACAAATCATGTTGATCAGTGATAGATCAGTAAATGTAAGCAAGGCAAAACTATAAATCAGGTATCCTTGACTATAAGTAGCATTTTTTTTTTTAGTTTGCTAGGCTACTGATGACAACCAGTATTTAAAGTATTTAAAATTAAATACTTTATTTTATTTTTTTTAAAAAGAAAGAAATTATTGAATTGCAAGCTCAGCCTTGTGGTTTATTTTTGGGTCAATTCTGTTGACATATTTGAGATACGTTTGACCATTGCAAGAGAAGTTATTCAGACAGACCCTCCAAAGTATATCTTGAGAGGTTTCTGATCCATCTAACTTATAAGAGGGGAAGGCTACAGTAGAGTTTAGTGCTTTTGCTTTGTGGGCAGGAAGTCAGTGTTGTGCGTATTTAATTATATCAGTCTATTCTGTTTAATTTCTGGAATAAAACAAACCATATGAAAATTCATTGTTGTGGGTGCCCTCAAGAATGAAGACGTCTGATAAGTTGCTAAACTTTATTAACCTACAAAGAGGGATTTTTTTGTCTCGGAAATGTTGTAGCGCTCTTCATAAGCTTCATGCAGCCCTTTGTCTTAGGACATCAACAAGACCAGTCTTTTAACCCAGTTACATCTTCATATACCAAGGTAGGCCTCTCTGAGATGGAAGCTTTAAAACTCAAGGGCCACCTATTCAGGCTTCCAACACTTTTTTTGTCTTTGCTGTCTTGAAAGACATGTCACTTCAGGCTTATTTATTTTATTTTACCAATTTGTATACCATCCATTTCAAAATGGCTCTTGGCAGTTTATAGTTGAAATACATAAACATTGAAAAAGCAGCTTCATAAATTTCCCAAAGGCTCTAAAAAGCCTGGGTAAAATGGCAAATGGTAACAAGGAAGTTGCTGGTTTCAAGGACAATGCAATTCCCTTTCAAAAAGAAGACAAAATTTACTATTGATTTAAACAAATCCTATGCTTAAGAACAAGGTCATAAGCTTATGCTTCTTATTCCACTCTTCTTATTCTAACCAACCTATCTTATTGAAACATGCTTAAATAGCTCAAATAATCTTTCCTTCAAAGAAACTCAAGATGGATGAATGGATAGATGGATGGATGGATGGATGGATGGCACCTTCAGCTGATTTTGGTGCTCCAGCTGATCTTTGGTGCTCCATGACACCAAAGATTGCAATCAGCAATGCCCATTCTGAATTTTGTCCTGGACAGGAGAGTTAATACAGATTAGAGTGGAGGGAAAAATTTTGATTAGTTTGCTTTTGAATATGTATCTAATAACATATTTTCAGATTGATACAGAAATGAAAAATTAGTTATTCAAAACTGGTACGTTGGGGTATTTTTTCAAAGCACTTTTCAATTTAAAAAATAAAGCTTTGTACATTGGGCAAATATTTAGGGAAATGTGTATTCTAATGCAGACAAACTAGTGCAAATTTTTAACCAAAATGTTTAGTTTTTGCAAATCAAACTTGATTAGTTATACAAAGACAAGAAAGAAGTTCTACTACCTCATCCAATTGCAACCAACATCATAAACACCAGGTCAAGATTGGGACACAAGCTGTTCACTTCCTCTTAGGAACAGCCACACTAGAATTATTTTCTAAGCAGTTTTCTTAATGCTTCCTAAATCTTAATTTCAGACAGCACTGATAGCAAACTCCCCACCATTGCAATAGGCACATCGTTCTGAGCAGAGTCATTCATGGGGGAGAAGAGGGAAGTGGTGTGCAAAATTAGAAAAGGCAGCTGTAACCATACAATTAATGCATCCATGTTGATTTTTAAATACCTCATCACCCCAACAGATGGCCCAGCATCTGAAACTCTTGAAAAGTAATGCTGGTCATCAAATTATGCCTATCTAGGTAGACCAACACCTCACAGGCATAAAATAGACACACAGATTTCTAACTTTTTTGATAACAGAAGAACATTTTTGTGCATCAGAATTCTCCCAAGTTTCCATAATCAAGGGTTCTTCCATGCCTATTCTAGCAGCAGTCCCCAATCTTTTTGGCACCAGGGAGCAGTTTTATAGAAGACAATTTTTCCATGGACTGTGGGGAGGGGGAGGAGGAGCATTCAGTCTAGATCCCTCACATGAGCAGTTTACAGTAGGGTTCGCACTCCTACGAGAATCTAATGTCTGATGAGATGATGTGAGCTGAGGCAATGACGCTAGCAGTGGGGAGCAGCAGCAAATACAAATGAAGCTTTGCTTGCTCATCTGCCACTCATTTCCAGCTGTGCAGCCATGTTCCTAACAGGCCACGGATCAATACCAGTCCATGGCCCAGGGATTGGGCATTGGGGACCTCTGTATTCTAGGATCTTGTTCCTATTTTGCAATAGATTGCTATGCACCATTTCTGGCATGTTTCTAAAATCATTCCTATTTCTATAGCCATGGCTTTTGCAGTTCATTAGCAATATCTCTTCTGGTCTCAGATTAAGCAAAAGGCTTTTGGAGTGGAAGTAAAGGAAAGGATTGTCAATCCAGGATTCATGATTCCAAGCTAGCAAACAGTCTCAGCCAGTGTGGAGCAGCTGCAGTTGCTTCCCCCCCCCACCTCCCCATCTCCCCATTGCCTTCCTGTTCATAACATCCACCCTATTTACAATGCACCACATCTGATCAATGGCAGCTGGTTGGGAGAGTGGTTTATAAATCTAGGCACAGAATGATCAGGAAGGACAATCACTGATATCACAGTCTATGCTAAAGGACTTTAAAAGATATGAGTATAGCCCAGCTCTGAAGCCAGGAAGTTGAGTTCAGAGAGATCGGGAGGTTTCCCAGGCTTGCTCAGGCAAGACACAGAAAAATGCAGCTTCTTCAGGTAGTGGAAATTTCAGCCATCTAGCTAAAGCTTGATGGTCTGCTTCTCACCTTTAAAAAAATCTAGCCTTTGCTGGGTAGTTTTGACACTGTTCTGATTATGATCTGGGAATTAAAGTCAAGGCATGGATTGCATGTTTATGCAAGAAAAGCTTCTTGACTTGAAACATGCAAATCATAAACTCATTAAAATTTAGCTTGCTCAGGACCCCCTGAAAAACCAGCAGTCACAGGTTTAAGTTTTGAATTTTTAAAAGGTACTTGCAAACCTCTCCACAAAAGGCAATATGGACTGATAATGAAGTCTGGCGTGCCAAACATGAAATCTAAAGGAGCTAAGGCCATGCACAAAAGGGAGAGAGAATTAAATCAGGGTGATGAATGGGATATTTCTTAATGATGAATAGGATGTTTTATGACATGTCTACAGCCAAAGAGGTGCTTCAAAAATCTGAAGAGCTAAGAGAATGGAAAATAGGGGTGTGGGGTGTCGATAAACTTATGATCGGTGGGTTTCATTTGGTATGAGCTACAATCTGTGCTCAGTGGTTCCAAAGTGATTACTTGCTCTTTTTATTCTAGCTATTTCAGGGCTGGTCATTTTTTGGCTTGGGGTTTAGATTCAGTTCCTTGGCTTCAGCCACAAAGGGTAGTTCATTCTCTTGAAGAACTTTGCAGGGGAACAAAGCCATGGCTGTGCTCTAGTCCTGAAGAGGGCAGCTCTGAGAATGAATGAGGAAAGATTTGCCAAATCAATAGGCTCATGAACTCTTCAACCTGAAACCTATTGATTGAGAAGTAACTCCCATTGATTTTAATAGCACCACTTAAATGAGGTTAGGAGATCAGTAAGCAGGAAAATGTTCCCTATACATAATTAATATAAATTGCAAAGAGCCTTGGATGTGACATCACAATCTATCATCTGGAGACTTGGAAAAGTCTATGAAACCTTTCCAAAGTGATTAACACATATTTAATACATATTTAATACAATGAAGCCCCTTATATTTTTAGGAGATGTTCTGGTCTTCTCGTTAACGCTCCAAGATATGGTATGGTTCAATGGCACTTTGCCAGATGCATTAGACCAAAGTTTCTCCTAATCCACCCACCCATCACCACTGCTTGCAATAATGGTCTGCCACTTGTCTACAGCAAATTGTCTTGTTATTGTCCCTGCAGCTTTTATTGGGAGGAATCTTGCCTCCATAGGCAAATTCTCATTGTATTACCCCATCCTAGAGCTGTTGATAGAGTCAATTGAATAGCTTTATGCATCCATGCTGATGCTATGCAAAAAAATAAAATAAATAAATCCCAAACTCATAATGTATTTACTCTCAACATGCCTTTACCTCCCAGCACAGTTTGATTGTATTAGGTGCACAATCACAATACACAGCGAAGTTGCTTGTTCTTTATGGTTGGTAGTCAACATGAATTTCCTTCCAAACTGACTCCTAAGAAGGTTATTCAATAAACCTTGACAGGGCATGCTGAATAGTCTCCTACTATTTCTGAATGTGTTGACTGTTCAAAGGAAACTTAATTATTCCGGTCAGAACGTGGACCGAATGAGTATGTGGACAGCACATTTTCACATTCTAAATTCTTCTATCCGTTGCTTCTTGGAAGAGAGAGGGTTGAATCCAGGTGTTATTTCTCTATTCTTGATGTTGGAATACTAGATACCAGCTTTAAAGAAATGCATTGAGCTGGCAAATCAGCTTAGAGAAAAACCATTCAGCACCTAATTTTGCATGCAGCTGGTCATTCATGCACCTGTGTTCCTAGCTGGATCAGACCAAAATCTTCATTCTGAATACAATATAGTATTTTTAATTCACTGTTTGAAATTGAATAAGGGAGCCTAGTTGATATCACAATCTTCTGGATTAGACTTCTTTCCTATCTTCTGTAGCATTTGGTTGACTTTGATGGTTCATTTGCCGTGGGAATTAAACTATCTGACACAAGACATGGAATCCTTCTCAGTTTCTGACAGCTTGTGAAAGTTCACATTTGATCCCTGCCACAATTAAGAGTGAAGCACTCTGAGCTTGAATTTCAAATACAGTAAACATTTAATAGAATGGTAGCATTCAGAATTTTGCTGGGATATTGTTACATGCTATATATTTTGCAGTCTCAGGTATTGGTTCTTTAATTTTTATTTCACCCCATCAAAGCTTTAAACTGAATGCTTGTATATAATATTTCACATGGGTATGTATGTTTAGTTTATTTTTATGCCATTCTTAGCCAGGAATTCTAGGATTTGGAACCCCACACACACACACACACACATCTGCAGGGCATCAGGTTAGCTAAGGATGTCATAATCTTTAAAACAACCATTTGAAGCAAGTCAAGATTGTTGCTTGCTGCAGTCGGTGCTACGGGGTGATGGTTTGCATACCAGGTCCAAGAAAGATCCCTTAGTTCAGATTTCCCCAATGAAGTATTGGAACTACAATATCCAAAATCCCCAAACAACCCACCATGGCAGATGGGAAATCTGGGAATTGTAGACTTGAGCCATCTGAAGATGCTACTTGGCAAAGATTCCCTTAATTCAATAGTCAACAGGGACTAAACCAGGGGTAATTATATTGTGGACAGGGTGCCCTTTTCTAATCCTTAGGAGTCCTTCTCATCCTATCCCCTGAAAAATTGTGGCATAATTTCCTTCCATTTTATTGGGAAACAATTGACAAGTATAACGTAAGCCCTAGATACAGGAGAAAGAGAGAGAGATTGCCACCACCACCATGAGCCAAGACCTACTCCTGTATGTAATGCAGATTCCTCTAAAATGTGACTCTCAACTTTCCCCCAAATGATAGATGTGGACTTTAATCACAAAAAGGTATCCCACTAAGGTATGCAAATTATTTCTCTTGTCTATGTAGATAGATAGAAGATAGAGTTATCTGGATATCGATTGTATGATTTGAATGAACCGGCATGGAAGAAGCTTAGTTGCCAGTATGGAACCTATAAAGAGGCAATTAAAATATTCTACTAACATGCTTCTTGAGAGCTAAATTTAAAACATGATGTCACTGTGATAACATTTATTGGCATGGACCATGAAAATAAGAGTGTTACAAAGTTCTAAAAACTTACAGCACTTCATATATAGCTAAGTCCTAAGACATCCTCTTTAAACAATGTCAGGGAAATTTGCCCTGATATTGAGAGACTATATATGCCAATACGATGTTCCATGTTGGCATGTATGTTCCATATGTTGCCTGATCTCACAGGCAGGCTATTTCTCGTACATGCCAGAACCTTATGATGGTTATTTTTCAAAAAGTCCCACCCTAGAATTCAATATTTCTCCAATGTGGTGCCCTCCAGACATACTGGATTCACATTCCCCATCGTAGTCTGACTAGTTGGCTCAGTGGCTAAGACACTGAGCTTGTTAATCAGAAAGCTTGGCAGTTCGGCAGTTTGAATCCCTAGTACAGGTCTAGATGACCTCCAAGGTCCCTTCCTACTCTGTTACTGTTACTGAATGTGTTCGCTGTATTTTCTCAGAAGCCTTTTTTAAGGAGCGTGCATAAGTGCACCAGCATGCCTACCGTCCCTGTCCTAATGTTTTCTTTTATTCGTATCCTTTTCATGTATTTATAATTATGTTTACATGTGTATCTGTCATAAAATATATGCTTGATGAAATAAATAAATAAAAATAAAATAAATAGCCCAGGGATCATGAGAGAAGTTGTCTGATACATCTGGAGGTTGCTAGGTTGAGGAAGAACATGGCTTGATGCCCCAATACCACCGCCACACACACACAAAGTCAGTGTGAAAGAAATCTTGAAACCAATTTTTCTCTCTCTCTCCCTGTATGGCTGCATCTCTGTTAAGAGCAGAGGCAGGAGCAGAGAGGTGGTTTCCTGCAAGCCATCAAATGAACACTTGACAGCAACAAGTGTTGCTGTCTTGAATTGAAAGAACAGCAGCGTGAAGAACTTCTCAGAAGGATGCTAATCTACCATGCAGGAAAGGGGGACCGGAGGGAGAGAGGCCATTCTATCTGAGAGCCTTCCTGTAAAGAGACTGGGAGGGGGGGTTCTAGGAGCTTAGGTGTTAATTGGATGGATAAAATACCTTTTACAGGGGAGAAAAGGAAACGTGGCTGGGGCGTAACAAGAGCGCCTTCGGGCAAGCAAAATGTCCCAGCAAATAACCCTCATCGCTTTAGGAATAGACACAAACCTACCGCTCCCCAACACGCGCGCACAGAGAGAGAGAGAGAGAGGGAGGGAGGGAGAGAGAGAGAGACAGAGAGAGACAGAGACAGAGACAGAGAGAGAGAGAGAGACAGAGAGAGAGAGAGAGAGAGAGAGAGACAGAGACAGAGAGAGAGAGAGACAGAGAGAGACAGAGACAGAGACAGAGAGAGAGAGAGAGAGAGACAGAGACAGAGAGAGAGAGAGAGAGATCTCCGCTGCCAAAGAAAACAGCCCTGAAACGTTGAAAGGCCCATCATCGGAGTAGCTTCGTTTCTGCCGTTTGTCTTCTCAGGGGTAATTGGGGAGGGGGAGGGCACCGTTGTCTTGCCTCTCTCGTGCCGCGATCAGTTTGTACCCAAGGCTGAGGGGGTAACTTGGTGTATGCTCAGAAACCCGTTGCAGCAGCGGCTCAGAAGGGCATTCCGCGGGGCTCAGCCTTGGAGGAGGTCCAGCGTTCGAAGCGCACAGCTTCCACGCCTCTCAGCCTCTCAGCCCCTCTGCTGCTCAAAGCATCTCTAAAAACGCGGAAGACGAAGCGGGCTGCGGGACGATGCGGTGCTTTGCCCTGCCCTGCCCTGCCTTGCTCAGTTCTGCTTACCTTCCCAACGGTGCACATGTCCCAGGGGAGAGCTGATGCGAGGGCTCGGTTGATCTCTTCCCGCTCCCGTCGGCCAGCTTTCTGCAGATCCCTGCGGTCACTGGCGAGCTCATCGCCTCTTCTCTTCAGCAAGCAGAGAGGCGGGCGTCCAGATGTTCCCTTCCTTCCCGGATTGGTCCAGAGGGAAAAGATGTTAGCTTGTTGCTAGGCGCGTTGCTAAGAGCCGGTGACGCTCTTTTCAGCATCTCCAGAGCGGCTCCAGAGGCCGCTGGGCATGTCCTGAGGTAAAGTGGAAGTGGAAAGAGGTGAGGGCTTTTGGGGGAGCAGGAAGGAGCAGGGAACCCGGCGAGGAGGCGGAGGGGCATCAGGGCAGGCAAGGGGAGAGTGGTTAGGTTGGGGACAAGTGGTGGCCCAGCAAATCAACAGGGCTGTCTGCTGTGTTTATTTTCGAGATTCCCTGCACTGAAACATAGATAAATCCACCTGAAGAATTGCTCAGGGAGCAGCTGATGAAACTGTCTGCAGAAAGATGCAGATTGTGCCCACCCAGGGAAGATTGACTGACAGAGTGATTATGGATTATGCAACCGCATCTCAAAAAGGGAAGTCATTTCTGAGTAAGGTGCGTAAGCGCAGTCCAAATTAGGATGCCATCAGTCTTTGCTGCGGGGAAGGACATGCATGCAGAGGCTGGTTCCAGATCAATGGAACTATAGAAGCCGCAAATATGTATGGCCATATATAAATTATGTAAGTTCAAGAATCTGTTATAGCAGGAAATCACATTTTTCCCCCTACAGAATGCTTCTCAGCCTCTGTTTAAAGACAAAACCAGTATGTAATTGATACGGTACACTGTTCAATACTAGCTAGAAATTTCCAATACAAGATTAGCAAGAATTCCAGCCAGACTTATCAAGGACATTTCCTTGTTTGAGGTGACACAGGGAATGGGTTCCCCAAGCAGGCAAGTCAAGATTCAAAACTGTTCTGTTCTATTCCAGCTTTTGCTATTTTATGGTTTAAGTTAAAGGTGCTCCCCCTTCCCTGGTACTTCCTGGGCTTTGTCTTCAAGAGAGAAGGAACAATTCTCGATTAAACAGGAGGGCCATGCAGCCTGAATATAGAAGGGCACTTGAATGCTGAATGGTTCCTCAACTCCACTGGTCCCTGCTGTTCTTGTCATCTATCTCCAGATGATCCAGGAACTGACTGATGGAACCGAAGAAATACGAACAGATTTTCTATGATGGGTATGTATGACATTGCCTGTCAGGATAATACTGGAGTCCCAAACGGATGGCTAAGAGCAATAGTGAGATTGTAAACACTTCATTAGCCACCCATCTGGATCCCTGACCCATTTGAATTTTTCAATTAAAAAGAAAAAAACTAAAAAGAGGTTTTCAATTTAAAAGGGGGAAGAGACCCCACCAGTATTATGGTTACTAATCAGAGTGCATCATTTTTATTTCCAAGATCACCCCTAACTCCAGTTGGATCTCTCCCTGGCTTAAAAATCTGCATCTACAGCTAACACTCAGGTATGTTTGCCACAATACATTATTTGTGATGCTGCCTTTATCACTAATGCCTAAATGTCAAATCAAACAGAATTCAGCAACCAGGCTGGTCTTCAGAGAAAATCAGCGTCCACATTTACACTGACTTAAGCCAGAAGCACTCACAAGCCATTTTTTTCTGGGTGAAATACAGAAGGCTGGTAATTATTTTTCTCTTTTTTTTTCCCCAGAAAATTTTTTATTTTTATTTCTTATACACATAATGTAAATGTACACTCTCTTATACATAATTGGTCATACCAATGCATATTATTCTTAAAGAAAGCATAAAAATAAGGCATTTTAATTACATTCGGGGTTGCTCTTCTACCCTTTCTTTTCCCTCATTTCACAACAAACCTTCTTCTCCTTTTTCTTTTTTTCCCTTCCCTCCTTCCTCTCCTACTTTCTCCCTCCTCCTCTCCTTCCTCTTTCCTACTTCCCCTTCCTTTCCCCTACTCCTCCCCTCTTTTCCCCCTTTCTCACCTTCTCTCCTACTCCAGGCTGGTAATTACTTTTAAAGCTTACAGCTAGAGCCCAGTTTATGAGAGAAATGTTCCCATTATCTACAATTCCTCTCCTGCCCACACCTCCACTCCAGGTCATCAGGAAGAATTGATGATCCAACTTTTGCAGGCTCATATAGTGGTTGGAAAGTCAAGACTTCGCTTAAACACCCTCCCCTTTTTGGGGGGGGGGGAGAGACAAGTATTCTCAATTAAGTTGAAATTTTTAACAAGGTCCTAAAACACAAGCAGATTTTTAATGGCTGGTTGAAATTGTTTTTAAATACACTGCTCAAAAAAGTAAAGGGAACACAAGCAGAAGACATCCGAGATCTGAATGAATGAAATAGCCTTATTAAATACTTTGTTCGTTACATACAGTAGTTTTGTGTTCCCTTTAGTTGTTTGAGCAGTGTATAAACTACTGTATGTAAATAACAAAGTATTTAATAAGGCTATTTCATTCATTCAGATCTCAGATGTCTTCTGCTTGTGTTCCCTTTATTTTTTTGAGCAGTATATTTCATAATTGTATTTTGCATTTGCCAAATAGTAGTAATAGTACTAGTACTAGTAGCATGTTCCATGGGGGTATGTTTTAAGGCTCTTCCTGGATCCACAGCTCAAGAAGGAAGTGGTAACTGTAATCAGGAAGGCCTTATCTGGTTCACCATGGAGCTGCCCTTGAAGACTATACAGAAGCTTCAGCTGATCCAGAATACAGCAGGGTGGCAATAATGAACACACCCTCAGTATGCTTTTACCATCTTGAGTTACTTATAAAATTGTGTAAGGTGAGATAAAAAAATCGAATAAATACAGTACCTCTACTTTGCAAGATGTACTGGTTGTCAGTTTGCTTGTAGATGTGATTTGTGGTGTTCAATACCATCTATAAGCCATAGGGTTTGGCCACTTGAGGGATTGTCTATCTCCTAAAATATTTGCATGGCCAATTCTATATGACAGGGTTGGCACACTCCAGGTTACTTCAATTAAACAGGGCCATCCATCCAGGCCCTGGAAATGCAATTTCTCTGTCTTAGTCCCTGCCTTCTGGAATCAGGTTCCCTCCAAGATCCAAATATTCCCCCAACCAGCTGCCAACAGCTTTAACATCAATTCCCAATGGAAAGCCAAATGGGTCACTGAATGCCCAGTTACAGTATAGGAAGACATATAAATAACCCCACAAAAAAAGGGTGCCAGCCTTTGACCTACTACATCAGCAATGGACAATCCTGAAGAAGATTCATGTCTCATATGGCATCTGCTGGGACTCTATATAAATGGTGCATAGAATCCTCCCCTCAGTGTGACTGTGGGATCCCATATCAAACTGTAGATCACATTGTGACCGGCTGTAAGCTCAGGGCATTTACTGGCCCAGTATCTGGTTTTTTAAAAAAATACCATATTTTTCGAGTATAAGACGCACCTGAGTATAAGACACACCTTAGTTTTTGGGGAGGAAAATAAGAAAAAAGCTGATTGGCGGGTGGATCGGTCTCCCGGAATACCCCCAATCAGCTGTTCCCAGAGGTGAATTTTAGCAACAGGTTCCTTGGTTGTGAGCTCTGTGCCTTGCTTTTTTTTTGCTTTCTTTTCTGCCTCTGAAAGCCTCTGAAACAGAACTTTAGAAAAAAAGCCTCTGAAGCTCTGTTTGGGGGCTTCTTTTCTGAAGCTTCGTTTCTGATGCTTTTTTGAAACCTCGATTTGAGAAGCTGAGCGGGGCTACATTTGGAGTATAAAACACACCCAGATTTACACCCTCTTTTTTGGGAGAAAAAGATGTGTCTTATACTCCAAAAAATACAGTATAAACAAAGCTGTGCTTCAATGGTTAGGCATTAATATTTGAATGTAGATCTTTTTGACATTTATATTTTATTGGGTTCTACTAATCTAGTTGAAATGTTAGTTTATATTGCTAAGTCTATGTATAATATGCCATATGCAAAATAAAATAAAATAAAATAAAATAAAATAAAATAAAATAAAATAAAATAAAATAAAATAAAATAAAATAAAATAAAATAAAATAAAATATAAATACTTCCCTGGGCTTTGGGGAGCATATACATGTAATAAATAGTAATAATACCAATTATCACTGACCCTCTTTGTCCCAAGGATTAGACTGCAAACAAAAAACAAAACAACTACTCAGCTCTTTCCAGACATCAGTTTTGATCTCTTGCATAGATTTGAAACTAGTCTAGTTGTTCTTCTTGCCTCACCTGTACGCCTTGCCAGCATATTCAGTCATTACATGGTGACTATAACTGGTCTCATGCTGCCATGCAAAAAGCATCATCCTGACCCCAAACTCTCTCCCCACCTCCCTACCCTGTAAACTCATTATTATCTGCTACAATGGTAAAATGCATGCTGTGCAGGTAGAAAATCCCAGATTTAGTCTCCAGCATTTCCAAATAATGGTCAATCAGAAATCATGAAAAGCCATTATTAGTACAGTATAGTTAAAGAACAATGTATTAAATGAGCCGCATTTCTGAGCCGGTATGAAGAGCTTCTTATTATATTCCCACTGAGAATGATTGCAACTCAGTGGTAGAACAAAGGCTTTGCATATGACAGATCTTCAGCTTCAATCCTTGGTATTTTCAAGATCCTTTCCAACTCTGTTATTCTGTTAAGGGTCACCCTGGAGTTCTTGGAGCAGCTCCTTTAACTGTGCACATCAACCATTTCTCGAGGGGCCATCCAAAAGTTGTCACCTATCTAAATAGAACAATGTAGACAAGGGACAATGTTATAAAAAAAAACATGAGGAGTAAAGTATTGAATGAATGCAATCTCATTTTAGGTGAAGTAAAATTAATGTTTACTTTTGTCCTGGCTACCCAATTTTTGGACTATGGCCTCTGGCAGACAGTTCAAAGGCCAAGTGAGGCTCTTAACAGGAAAGAGGTTGTGCATCTCCCATTGGAATAAACAGTATTGATTAGGGCCGGGATAGCGAACCTATGGCACGTGTGCCACAGGTGGCACGCAGAGCTATATCTGTGGGCACGCAAGCGTTGCCCTAGCTCAGCTCCAGCACGCATGTGCATGCAGGCCAGCTGATTTTCGGGCCTTCCGGAGCCACCAGAAGATGGGAAATGGGCCGTTTACAGCCTCCAGAGGGTCTCCAGGGGGTGGGAAAGTCCGTTTTCACCCTCCCCAGGCTCCAAGAAAGCCTCTAGAGCCTGGGGAGAGTGAAAAACTGGCCTTCCGGTCCCACCGGAAGTCAGGAAATGGGTAGTTTCCGGTCTCCGGAGGGCCTCCGGGGGTGGGGGGGGAAGGCTGTTTTCGCCCTCCCCAGGCTCCAAAAAAGCCTCTGGAGCCTGGGGAGAGCGAAAAACTGGACCACCGTGCCATCACATGCCAAAAGCAGGGGGGAGCACAGGGGGTCATGCACCACATGCACAGGGGGAGGGGTGCATTGAATTATGGGTGTGGGCACATGCGCACGCGGCCCCCTGCGCTCCCCCCGCTTTTGGCACACAGCGGCAAAAAGGTTAGCCATCACTGGACTAGGGGGACCAGTGTTACTTAGATAAAGTAGCAACCTACAATTTCAGGAAAATTGTTGCACCAGTTCAAAAGGATTATGGTTGACCATGCAGCTGCACTGGATGTTTATCAAGAGAACTATGTTATGTAAAACTTTCACCACCATCACTTCTTTAGTACCCAATGGATCCAAGGCCTGCTTTGAGTTGCTGTTAAACTTTGCATTTTTCTTTTTCCTTTTCCAATAAGAAGTAACCCTTCCCAAATAAGAATACGCCATACAATCAAAGCTGTCTGTGGTTTGGCATCCACCTCTTTCACATTTTTTATTGTGTACTTACCAGGGAGATGTTCGGTTACCATGGAGATAAAACTCACAGAAGTATCTAACCACTAATAGACAGTGAGCTCAGCTTGAGTAATGCATTTTCAGTCAAGAGCACCAAAGAATCCCAATGTTGAGAATGGAACATATTTCAGTTCTAAATTCACTCTATTACCTGGATTCCCCACCTCAACACAATTCCTCATTTGTTGTGGCATGCCTGAATCGGCCTGTGCTTTTATGCCATGTCTCTCTCTTTTCTTTTCCTTACCCCCTGCCTAGTTTTGACATACCCACTACTTCATCTTCAAATGGAAATTCACAGGAACAGTTCCTTTAACACAATATACAATTAAATTGTAAATTTTTCTGCCTTGAGAAATGAAGACCACTAATTTATTTATTTATTTGTTCAACTTGTATGCTGCCTTTCTCCGAAGACTCAAGACTTAAACCCATTTAGATGGGTTTAAAAGGGAACTTCATCTCAAATCCTGCTGTGTTGCTTCATCGTGGTAGGGTCTGTCTGTCGGAGTAAGGAGCAAAGGACACCAGTAAGAATATATAATCCCAGCAGGATTATCCAAATCATCCCAATTGCCCAGCTATAGAAAATAAGTAAACAGATAGAAGAGAGAGAGCAGGGGTGAAATCCAGCAGGTTCTGACAGGTTCTGGAGAACCAGCAGCAGAAATTTTGAGTAGTTCAGAGAATCAGCAAATACCACCTCTGGCTGGCCCCAGAGCGGGGTGGGAATGGAGATTTTTCAATATCCTTCCCCCAGGAGTGGGGAGGGAATGGGGATTTTGCAGTATCCTTTCCCTGCCATGCCCGCCAAGCCACACCAAGCCCATCAAGCCACACCCACAGAACCGGTAGTAAAAAAATTTGGATTTCACCACTGAGAGGGGTATGTGTGTGAGTGTGTGTGTGAGTGTGTGTGTGTGTGTGAGAGAGAGAGAGAGAGAGAGAGTACTGCAGCAATCTAGAAAGATGCTGGTGATGGATGATCATTTTACTATCTTTTCATACTTCATAGGATAAGGCAATGCTAAACCATTTCTGTATTTTACCAAGAAAATCATAAGGGTATTGTTGCAATATTTTCAGGATCAGACTCAATAAGATTAGTAAGAATTAAAGGTTTAAATATATTTCCTTTTATTTACAATAGGCATTCTATATTCACTGAATATTCACAGATAGAAGCAAGGAAAAGGGTGCATGTAGCTCCTTATATATACAATGGGTGGAGCTATATGTGGGAGTGGTGAATTATGAATACATTAACAAGTGAAGAATAAGTTAACCCCTGATACCCCGTTCATATACTATTTACACATTAGAGAATAAGGCATTTACATCTGACAGGTATAATATATAATCTTGGGTAAAACTATAGTCCGATAAGGGCTTCTTCAGGACAAATGGCATTCAACAACATCGGGTCTTTTAGAATACTAATAGTGTTTTTATGTTGTTAGATTAAACCCTTCAGAATATCTAGTTGCTGCATTTTGCCATGCATGAGAAGAAAATCCAAAACTGCAAATCCAAAACTACCCTGGAAACATAAGCAGCATGAGTTTAAACATAGGAAAACTCAACACAATAAAAGATTAAATGAATCAACTACACATTAGGCATCAGTAAATTGAGTGGAACAGGATCCTTCCAGTCAGATATCACAGTTTACTATCCAGGACATGAAAAACAATAAAAGAACAGCATTGCTTTCATAGTTAAGAAAGGGATAGCAAAAACAGTATTGGGTTACTATGCAGTCAATGACTAAATAGACAACAGACAGAATAATAGAATAACAGACTTGGAAGGGACCTTGGAGGTTTTCAAGTGCAACCCCTTGCTCAAGGCAGAAATCTTTATTGTATTCTGGACAAATCGTTGTCCAAGCTCTTCTTGAAAACCTCCTGTGTTCAACTTCTGGAGCAGTGGTGGGTTTCAAAATTTTTTACTACCGGTTCTGTGGGTGTGGCTAGATGAGCATGGCTTGGTGGGCGTGGCAGGGGAAGGATACTATAAAATCTCCATTCCCACCCCAAGCAAGGGGAAGGTTACTGCAAAATCCCCATTTCCTCCCGATCAGCTGGAACTTGGGAGGCAGAGAATAGATGGGGGCGGGGCCAGTCAGAATTTTTACTACCGGTTCTCCGAACTACTCAGAATTTCTGCTACCGATTCTCCAGAACTGGTCAGAACCTGCTGAAACCCTCCTCTGTTCTGGAACAAATCATTCCACTGATTAATTGTTCTAACAATTATGAAATTTCTCACAGTGTATGGAGAAAGGACATAGCATTGAAAGGGAAAGAGCTATTAAGTTCTGCAAACTTTATCTACTTCCTGATTTTCTCTAGGTTTAAATCTATGCCCAGCACTTTAGTTAAAGCTTGTTGAACTTCTTGGATGTCTTCCAAGCTATGTTCTTCATCTATCAAATTACTCACCTTGTAGTGAAGTAGAATGTGATGGAATGGGTCAGTGGGGAGGAGGTAGTATCATGTGGTGGCCCCATCAATCCTATTGGGATATACCGAACTTAAACAGACCCAATACATATAGAGTTAAACTAAATTCGGTCATTCAGTGGTCCTGTGCAAACTTCTAAACCCAGTTAGCTAACTAATTCGGACCACTCTTTTGCCCAAAAAACAGCCTGAAAAGAAATGGTAGCAAAAAAACCCAAGTCTCAAGTTTTGATTGATTGCAATGGCAAGCCACATCTATCTATTTAAGATGGAAAGACTAATCATCTCCTGCCTATTCTTTCCTCATTCAAGGACTCATGGAATACTAGCTCCTTTCTGGAGAAAATGAGTAGGAAACTGCTTTCTCAAAAGGTTGACTTTTGATCCTGTGTGCTACCAGAACCACCAATACGAGAATCTGAGTAGATTAAAATCAGAACCAGGGCTCTTATAAAGAACTCTATAAGATAAGGGCTACAGAAATTATTTCTAAAAATATATGGTCAATTCTTTGATATTATCTTGCAAGGGCCTTTTGAGATGTAGTCACCTCTAAATCTATAAGCAGGCAGAATATAAATTTTTGTAATGAAGAATTGAGAGAGATTATGCTGTGGATGATATTCAGAATATTCTCATTAGTTTTTATCAGATAATTAGGAAAAAGGCACTTTAATTGTATAGAATAACAGAGTTGGAAGGGACCTTGGAAGTCTTCTAGTCCAACCCCCTGCCTAGGCAGGAAACCCTTCAGACAAATGGTTATCCAACTTCTTAAAAATTATCAGTGTTGGAGCATTCACAACTTGCTCCACTTATTAATTGTTCTACAGTAACTGTCAGGAAATTTCTCCTTAGTTCTAAGTTGCTTCTCTCCTTGATTAATTTCCACCCATTGCTTCTTGTTCTACCCTTAGGTGCTTTGGAGAATAGTTTGACTCCCTCTTCTTTGTGGCAGCCCTGAGATATTGGAACACAGCTATCATGTCTCTCCTTAGTCCTTTTCATTAAATGAGACATACCCAGTTCCTGCAATCGTTCTTCATATGTTTTAGCCTCCAGTCCCGTAATCATCTTTATTGCTTTTCTCTGCACTCTTTCTAGAGTCTCAACATCTTTTTTACATCATGACGACCAAAACCAAATGCAGTATTCACTCTCCTAAACTCCATCACTTTGCTAAACAAATAATTCCTTCAACACTGTCAAACTATTTACTAAGTCTATACTATTATTAATCTTCTCATCGTTCCCATCACCCATCTCCTTCAATTTATGACTGTATGACTGTAATTTTGTTGCTTATCCTCATGATTTATATTGATATTGTTATTGCTTATTTGTACCCTATGACTATCATTAAGTGTTGTATCTTATGATTCTTGATGAATGTATCTTTTCTTTTATGTACACTGAGAGCATATGCACCAAGACAAATTCCTTGTGTGTCCAATCACACTTGGCCAATAAAAAATTCTATTCTATTCTATTCCAAGTGTGGCCTTACCTTGGCATTATAAAGTGGTATTAACACATCACGTGATCTTGATTCTATCCCTCTGTTTATGCAGCCCAGAACTGTGTTGGCTTTTTTGGCAGCTGCTGCATACTGCTGGCTCATATCTAAATGATTGTCCACTAGGACTCTAAGATCCCTCTCACAGTTACTAATATTGAGCAAGGTACCATATATACTGTACCTGTGCCTTTTGTTTTCCTTGCCTAAATGTAGAACCTTACTTTTTTCACCATTGAATTTCATTTTGTTAGAGAGCGCCCAATGTTCAAGTCTGTCAAGATCCTTCTGTACCTTGAGCCTATCTTCTGGAGTGTTGGCTATTCCTGCCAGCTGGGTGTCATCTGCAAATTTGATGAGTTCCCCATCTATCCCCTTGTCCAGATCATTGATGAAGATGTTGAAGAGTACTGGGCCTAAAACAGAGCCCTGGGGTACTCCACTGCATACTTCCCTCCATGTAGATGCAGTTCCATTGAGCTTCTTAAATTGTTTCCCCTTGAGGATTCTCATCCATGCAATCCTTCCCAAGCTCTCTCTAAATTTATTGAAATTAGCTCTCTTAAAGTACAAGACTCTAGTTTGACTTTGTTCTACTACTTGTGTTTGCATAATGTTCAATTCCAATATTACGTGATCACTTGTCCCCAAGGTTCCTGTAGCTTCAAAGCCTTCTATCATTTCATCTCTGTTAGTGAGAATTAAGTCCAATATGGCTGATCACCTTGTTCTCTTCTCTACTTTTTGGGAAACAAAGTTGTCTGCTGGGTTTGTTAGGAACCTGTTGGATCTTCCACTTGGTGCAGAGTTTGTCTCCCAGTTGATGTCAGGATAGTTAAAATCCCCCATTACTATTGTGATGTGCTTCCTACATACCTTAGTTAGCTGACTAACAAACGAACAAACAAAAAAAGAACAAATCACACTTTAGATCTCTTTCTCTGAAACCTTATGGGCCAGTGTGCTATTTCCCATTAGATAAAAATAGCTGCTGTTTTTTTGTTCTGGATAAAGCCATGAATTTCTACCTATGAAATTGCCTCACTGCCATTGAGTGACTCAAACTCCATTGACAATGCATTTCTGGTTGTAAACCTGGTTTGAGGTTTGAAGAGACTTTGGATCATGAGTTTTCAAATCTTATCCTTTCTATTGGCTGCATTGAGGACATGATTGAAATCTGTGCCAGATGGTATCAACAAATTTAGAAGTGGAAACTATGGGAACTGGCAGGGGGGAAAAAACCTGTTTCCAAAAACGTACCCTGAAAACAAGCTGGCTGTGCTTCTTTATGCATTTAAACCCTGCACGTTCTTTTCAGTGCACACTAAGAGTAGATAAGTTATTCCCAATAACACAGCTTCAACAATGTGCAACATCCAAGACTTTCAGCTCCTTCAGAAAACAACATTTCACTTAGAATATTAGGTCTGCGTAATAAGAAGAAAGGGTAGTTGGCCCATCACAAACAACCATGTTGTTTGGATAAAAGGCTCATCCTATTTAGTCTTGCCCAAGATACAAGGAAAAAGTCATCTTGGGGTTTGAGCAGACATGCTTGAAGGAGAGGTACAAGTAGCTGTTACATATGTAAATAGCAAGTGAAGCCAGGGATGTAGTCTTCACTCAGGTCCGGGTTTAGCTGGACAGTTGCATGCCCACCACTGATTGGTGGATTCAAACAGGGCCCGCCACTGATTGGTGGATTCAAACGGAGGGAAATGTAAAGCCTTATCAGTGGCTGAATCGGTGGGACTGCTCCCTTTAAAAGGGAGTGCCGGCTCAGCCTGAGCAGAAGTCACTTACTTAAATAAAGAGCTAAAGTTACTGTCTGTCCTCCTGCCTCTTCATTGCCTCACACAATCTAACAGTAGCAACATGTTTAAAATGTCTGAACCAAAAGAAAATGGAGTTGGAAAACATAGCTAAGTAGATATGGAAGGATGCAGACTCCTTGCTTTTATCCTGTAAAGTTTAGTAATCCAATGGATTCACTAATGGTTCCACTCATAATACAAACCATGCATTCAATTCCTGTTGTCCGAGTGTTCATTCAGCCTGTTAAAAATGAGAGTCAGTGTGGTATAGAAGTTAAGGTGACGGATTTAAAATGAGGTTCAGGTTGTAGTCCTTCCTTAAGCATGGACGCCAGCTGTGTGACCTTTCCCTCTCAATCCTTATCAGCATCAGATTCTGCAACAAGTAGGATGATAAATAAGTATAAATAAATAAAACCTCTTCTTGCATCACACACTGATAGCTTTGCTATAAAAACTAGATGAGAGCATTGCAAACACAAGCAAACTTTGTAACCATGTGGGACAAGGGCTGAGGAAAAACAACCTGGCTTGCTAAAATGTGGTTTAGTCTATCATGTTGGAATCTGAAAGAACAGATCTGTAGTAATGTGTCTTAACGTAGAAAACATCCATCTTGTTTTCTCTTCTCTGTTAATTGCTTTGTTCTGTTTTTAGAAAATGAAAAAAAACACACCAAAATGCTTGTTAATTTATGTCAATATTCATTGATTCCCAAAAACAAAACGAAAAACTGGTCACAGATGAAGGCATTACCAATGATGGCTGAATATCGGGGCCCTCAGTGATTGCCTAAAGGGCTAGCAGTGGTGAAAATGCCCAGGTTTTCTCTGCTCAGGGCCACGCTTCCTTCTTGAAGAAGTTCTCCTCAGACACTCTCCAGTAGGCTCCTGAGGCTCAGGTTTTAATTTAGAGGAAGAGTCTAGGACAGGGGTGTCAAACTCATGTCATCAATGCAGTGTCACATGATGTATCGCAACTTTTTTACCCTTCACTAAACCGGGCATGGGCATGGCCAGCATGTGAGGTATCCGGCCCGCAGGCCATTAAATTGATACCTGTGGTCTAGGAGCAAACTAGGAGCAAAAAATCTAGGAGCGATTTTTAGTAATCTAATATAATTGGGGGCCAAGATTAGTGAGACCTGATGGTAGTAGAGGGGGGCTCTCAGTTATATGGAACTTGCTGACATTGGAAGGATTGGTTACTTGGTCCAATCCTGTGAATTGCTTCTTTTGGCCTCAAACATTCAGGTCAAATTCCAAGATCTGGAAAATGTAGGACCAATAACTTCAAAACACAGACATGCCCGATACCTCCCTGCAATTACTTCTGCATCTCTTCTTATGACCTTCCATCCAATGGAATCAATAACAGCCCCTTTCTCTCTTCCTCCTAAGAGCTCTGAGTCTTTCACAGCTTTGAAAGCCTGAAATCTATGCCTGCACAACAGATCAATACTGTCATGGATATGTGCACAGAATACCAGCCAGACGGAGTGGTAACAAAATCACAGGGGTGGGAGGCATGGAAGAAGATCTTTGAAGGTTGTCTGCCACTCAGAACGTTTAAAAAAAAAGAAAACCTCCCTACGTTCCCCCAAAGCATGATGACCAAGAACAAAACTTGTGTAAATCTGCAGTTTCCTTTACATCAGGACTGAAGGATGATTGCAAGGCTTGATTTTACAAGTAGCAGCCATTACCAGTTTCAAAAGAGATGTACAATTTCCATGAGGGGCAGGTGGTAGGAAGCAGCTGTTGAATAATCACACGCACATCCTCACCCCAAAAAAAGCCTCATCAATAGTCAATTGGGTGAAGTGAAACATTGGGAGCAGGGAAAATACTGGTAATGACACAGATGAAAAGAAACATAAACAGAGGGATTGAAACTGCTGGAGGAATCAAGCAAATTTCCTCTTCAATTCTACATGACACATGAAAATTATTAAAATAGCGTGGCTTCAGGATGAGAGATGATATTCACTGTGAAAGCCAGTATCTTTCTCACAGACTTATCTGACTGCTGAATGGACTTGATTTTTATTTATTTTTATGTTCTATACCTCCCTTTTTTGCGCATATAGACCATAAGAGCCTTGGTGATGCAGCGGACTAAGTGCTGTTATGTAGCACTTAGCTGCCAGCTGCCTGCAATTAATGCGAGTTCAAATCTCATCAGCCTCAAGGTTGACTCAGCCTTTCATCCTTCCAAGGTAGGTAAATTGAGGACCCGGATTGTGGGGGCAATAAGCTGACTTTGTAGAAACACCGCTTATGGGTGGCCAAAAGCCCTAATAAGCAGGTATATACAAAAGAATGAAGGCTATTGCTATAAATGCATTGTAAGCCGCCCTGAGTCTTCGGAGGAAGGCGGCATATAAATTGAACTAATAAATTGAACTAATAAATATAAAAAGCAGAATACATCAAACCAGAGAGTCATGTAAACTAGAACAGACATATATAAGGAATCCTAATTTAAATATTTCTTGGTTTTTGGCAGGTCTATTAGCCCTTCCAGATCTGCATTTGTATCATCCCAGGAGAAACTCCTTGTCCATGTCTTCACAGAGTCATGGGGAGTCTTCTGCAGCTAAACCAGGGGTGAAATGCTCCCGGTTCAGACCGGATCACCTGATCCGGTAGCGATGGAGGCGGGTGGTTCGGAAAACCGGTAGCAAAAATCCCTGCCCCCCCCCCCATTGCCCAGCTGAGCCGCGCAATCATCAGAGGCTTTTTTATTATTTTTAAAAGCATTTTTTCTACAACCTCTTTGGCCGAAAAAATGCTTTTAAAAGTAAAAAGAAAAAGCCTCTGATGATTGTGTGGCTCAGCTGGGATCATCAGAGGCTTAAAAAAAAAAGAAAGTCTCTGCCGATCAGGCAAGTCAGCTGGGATTGTCAGAGGCTTTTAAAAGCATTTTTTTACAACCTCTTCAGCCGAAGAGGTTGTACAAAAAATGATTTTAAAAGTTAAAAAAAAAAAAAAGTTGGCCACGCCCATTCAGTCATATTACACACACCCCCACCAAGCCATGCCCACTGAACCGGTAGTAACAAATGTTACATTTCACCACTGAGCTAAACCAATTAAGTTCCATCTCATCTGCAGTACAGGTAGTTCTCTACTTACAACAGTTCGTTTAGTGACTGTTCGAAGTTACAGCTACACTGAAAAAAGTGACTTATGATCCTTTTCCACAGTTATGACTGCTGTAGAATCCCCACGGTCAAATGATCAAAATTCAAATGCTTGGCAACTGACTGATATTTATGATGGTTGCAGTATCCAGGGGTCATGGGATTACCTTCTGCAACCTTCCCCATTGACCACCAAAGTCAATGGGGAAGCCAGATTGACTTAACAACAGCAGTGATTCACTTAATAACTGTCTCAAGAAAGGTCGTGAAATGGGGCAAAAGTCACTGAACAACTGTCACTTAGCAACATAAATTTTGGGCTCAATTGTGGTCGTAAATCGAGGATTATCTATATAGGAGGAAATACTGGGGGAAAGATCTGCAATGCCTGTATAAGAAGTACTTCCTCCATGAAAGGATCACTTGTGTTATCTTCCTTAGGTCTTCCACTTCTTGCCCCATGCCAAAAGTGTCTTGCCATTTTTTTCACCAGGTGTTGTGGCCCGTCAGTAGCCTGTGCGGATTGTAGCTGATTCTGACAGCGATGAGGCTGGTGTGGTGCTACCCCAGCAGCCTATGCAGCTGGCACTCGAGTCAGACAGTGAGGGGGCTGGAGAAGATGTGGTGCCAGAGGCAGGGATTCAGCCAGGGCCTTCAGAACCTCCAGAAGCTCCTTTAAGTGAAGAGGACGAAGAGGAGGAGCCTCTTCTCGATGCATGGGTGTGCAGAGCTGCCAAAAGACAGGAGTGGCTCCTCAGGAGGAGATTTCCTCAAGAGTAATGCTTGGGGCTAATTGGCTATTCCCTTAGCCTATTTAAGGAGGAACGCCAACTGAAGCAATTTGTAGGGAACAACTTTAGTTCACTCTACTTCACGTCTGGATTCTCTGCAAATTGCTTCTGGGCTTTCTGCCAACCTTAGTAAGATTGTGATTACTTTATCTTTGGTTTCGTGTAGGCTGTTAAGAAAGTTTATTAACAGCCTTTGTTTTGAAAAAGACTGAGTTATTTTAGTAAATTAAGTTTTGTACAAACTTTGTGTGTGCTGTGTTCTTTGGGGTCCGTAGCTGGGGCAGAACAGTAGGCTTCATTTCTAATGCTGAAATAATAATTGAGATACTATTTCACTAAGGCTCAAATTTAGTAGAAAGCAGGCTTTCTTCTTGTTGTTGGGTTCTACTTTCCTCATAGTGAGGGGTGTCAAACTGGTGGTCCACGGGTTGGATGTGTCACACGCAGGCCACACCCACCCCAGCTCCATGAAGGGAAAAATGTTGCGATATATCACATGATGGCAATGTGACGCTGGGATTTTGACATCCATGTCATAGTGGGAATAAAGACAGTTAAGGAGAGGCTGAAGAGGAATGAAATGGACTGATTGTTTTGGCACTCTCCTGTTGGTTAGCTGGGAGGAACTTTGGGGGACTCACGAGTCTCAAGAGTGAGAGCACACCCTTGGTGTTACAAGCAGAGGTGGCATTCACCAGGTTCAGACCAGTTCTGGAGAACCGGTAGCAGAAATTTTGAGTAGTTCGGAGAACCGGTAAATACCACCTCTGACTGGCCCTGCCCCCATCTGTTCTCTGCCTCCCGAGTCCCAGCTGATTGGGAGGAAATGGAGATTTTGCAGTATCCTTCCTCTGGAGTGAGGAGGGAATGGAGATTTTACAGTATCCTTCCCCTGCCACGCCCACCAAGCCACACCTACAGAACCGGTAGTAAAATATTTTGAATTTCACCACTGATTACAAGGATGTTTCAGAAGGTTTGGGGGGCAAAACAGGTAGCTTTATGGAAGAGCCCCCTTCTTTTCTTTTCCCAACTAAAAATGAGGGGGTATATTTTTTCGTCTATTGAGCTTGTAGTCTACAGCCATCTTTAAAATATTAACATCCTGTCCTAGTAGCCTCTTGAACTGCCTCATATTCTTTATAGTTTTAACATATTCACTCCCCTATTACATTGTCAACTCCATTCCTGCCAATTCTTAGGAATCTCTCCTTCTCTTTAAGCAAGGAACATTGAGGATATGAATTTAAATTTGTATAAATTTGATAAATAAAAAAATAAATATTTGCTTTCTCCAATTCTTTTGCAGCTTGTATTTGAATTTTATCAAACAGTTATGAATCACCTGGGAGATCAAACCAGAGGTCTATTTAATCAGATTTCCCCAGAGGCAGGATAGGCAAACAAATTTAATAAGTAAATAAAAATAAAATTTTATTTCCACCCCTTGAAAAAGTAAGCCTGCTTTATGCTTATTGCTTGTCCCAAACACTTCAGAACATACTGCTTTGGTATTTGTAATTACCACCTGAATACCATTTTTCTAACAACTTTTGAGAAATCTCTTTTTTTAAATTGATATTTGGAACAGGACATGTCATATAATTGATGCCATTTAACTAAAATGTCATTGTTACATTTTTGATAATAAATGCTGGTCATTAGTTATGTATTACATGGGCCCAATTCTCAATATGTTATTAGACATCCCACCAATCTTATTTTGTAAAAAAGTTAAATATATATTTCATTCGTATTTTGCAAATGTGTATTAAAATTGCAGAACATCACCTGCTTAACATGCTGGGCACCCCCAAGTCAGCCAAAGATATCAAGCAGCAATTAATAAGAAACATTTATTTCTGAGAGTCCATTAGTCAGATTACACAATTTTGGCTCATCTGTAGAGACACATATATTCCTATCCTCCTTCCTATTTTTATTCTGATGTTAAAGGTTGAAACATGATACAAAATGCATGCAAGTACGCAGAAGACATGAATAAAGAGAACTTTCTGACTTGCAGAATATTGTATTGCCATCCCATGCATCCAAACCAAGACTGTTGTTTATTATCCCATTTTGTTACAAAATGCACGAAGTAGGGAGCAGGAAGGATCATGGTCAAATACCCCAGCATAATGAAAGTCTTAGAGAAAGGGAATAGCACAAGGATTGTTGATTGCTTTGTAGTATAAAAAACAGATTGGTCAAGTTCATGGTCAGCCAGTTAACTGTGAGGTCACCTGGGGCAACGCTATCATTCTCTCCTTGCTTAATCATCTGTGCATTTGCAGGAACCTTATTTCTGAGATGCCACCATCCGCCTTTGCAACATAGCAAATGGGTGACTAACCCAGCTCTTTTTGCTTTATGCAGCAAAGGTCTAGATAAAGGGGTGAAATCCAGCAGGTTCTGACAGGTTCTGGAGAACCGGTAGTGGAAATTTTGAGTAGTTCGGAGAACCGGCAAATACCACCTCTGGCTGGTCCCAGAGTGGGGTGGGAAGGGAGATTTTGCAATATCCTTCTCCCAGGAGTGGGGAGGGAATAAGGATTTAGCAGTATCTTTCCCCTGGAGTGGGGTGGGAATGGAGGTTTTGCAGTATCCTTCCCCTGCCACGCCCACCAAGCCACACCACGCCCACCAAGCCACACCCACAGAACCAGTAGTAAAAAATTTGGATTTCACCACTGGTCCAGATGAAGAGAAATACGCAATCTACAACATGACAGGCAGAGTGTTGCATCCCTTAAATGCATGTGTGAGATACCACATAAATCTTATACACCCACAAACTTGCGGGTGTTGCCATTCCTCTTGGGGACACCGTTGTTTTCTGCTTACGCATGGCTATCAAGGGTCATACAGGTCCTCGACTTACAACAGTTCATTTAGTGACCATCTGAAATTACATCACTGAAAAAAGTGACTTGTGACCATTTTTCACTCAAGAGCATCCTCAGTGTCACATGACAAAGGATTGGATGCTTGGCAACTGGTTCATATTTATGACAGTTGCAGTGTCCCCATATCATGCGATTCCCTTTTGTGGCTTTCTGATCAAGCAAAGTCAATGGGGAAGCCAGATTCACTTAACAACTGGGTTACTAACAACTGCAATGATTCACTTAACAACTGTGACAAGAAAAGTCGTAACAAGGGGCAAAACTCACTTAACAAATGCCTCTCTTAGCAACAAAAAAATTGGTCTCAATTATGATTGTAAATCGGGGATTACCTGCATTTGTAATTTGGTGTTAAGATAGAAAACATCTCTTATTTTTACCTAACAATTTCCATACTAGAGTTTTTTCTAATATAACTTTTTGTTAAGGACTTTGATTACAATAGTAAAAACTATTTGTACTCTGGGCGTTTCAATTAAGCAATGCCATCTATTGAGACTACAGAAGAGTATCATCTCTATAATAGATGATACTCTTCAGGGGTTAAATCCAAATTTTTTCTCTACCGGTTCTGTGGGCGTGGCTTGGTGGGCATGACAGGGGAAGGATATTGCAAAATCTCCATTCCCACCCCACTCCTGGGGGAAGGATATTGCAAAATCTCCATTTCCAACCTTCCTGGGGGAAGGATACTACAAAATCTCCATTCCCAACCCTCCTGGGGGAAGGATATTGCAAAATCTCCATTCCCACACCACTGGGGCCAGCCAGAGTATTTGCCGGTTCTCCGAACTACTCAAAATTTCCGCTACTGGTTCTCCAGAACCTGATAGAACCTGCTGGATTTCACCTGATACTCTTCCTATCTAAAATGAGGTGTCCCCCTGCAAGATTTAACCCCCCCCCCATTTTGAAGCACCCTAAAGACCTAACCCTTCATCTAGGCCTTTGGCAAGGACAATCAACCCTTTCCTCTCTTTTTCTTCCCATCCAGGCTTGTTTTCTTTGTTGTCGTTGTTCCTGTGTCTTGTGCTACTTTTGTGCTCTTTGTGTTGTTCTTTATTTGTAAAGATTTTTAACAATTGTAAAGCATCCAGAATTGCTGGGAATTGAGTAGCACAGAAATGTAATAAATTAATATTATTAAGATATGCAGAAGTGTACTGTAAGCTTCCTAGATGATATAGGCAGCCATATAAGTCCTATACATACATACATACATACATACATACATACATACATACATACATACAAGGCTTCTTGTGGTCTGCTCACTCATCACCCCAGTTATTTTCCAGCAGGTTATTTTTTTTATCCACTGGAATGGAATTTTAAGGTGCAGGTACCAATTCAGGGTAAGTATTGCTTGATTGTGAGCTTATTCTGTTCTTTTCTACATTGTCGAGTTCAATATGTACATGAATAAACAGACTGAAGTCAAGGCACTCCTCCCACTGAGCAAATATTGGTCTGACATTCTCGTTGATTGAATCACCATCTCTACATTCAGAGGGCTAAAGCATCTTGCAATTCTGGTGAATTTCTGAACTTCACAGAGCTTTATGAAGGCTTGAGAATGGTGTAACACATAAAAAAGTGACACTTCCACTAGACAATTAACGGAAACGTTGTAAGTTTAATCTTGCACATTTCGATACATCTTTCACAAAGCAAAAAAAATCAAAAAACATCAAATGTACATTTAGTTTTGTCAATAAAAAGTAATATAACATTTAATCAAGGTTAGTTGTATACGCCAGAACACAGGTGTGTTTTGTTTGTTTTTCAAATGCAGATATTGCCTATAAACTGTGCTTTTTTAATCCTAAAGAAATGATCTTTTAATAACCGAGGCTTCTATTCTTACCAATCCACTGCTCAACTCTACTGTGCTTTAGCAAGTCTTTAAAAAAAACTTGAATGAGAAGAGGTTGTATCTATATATGATCTACTGAGACCACTCTGCACAGGGATCAACAGAAACAGGAAGGATATCTGAGCAACAGCCTTTGCAAAACATTCAACATCCCTTTACACTCATTCTACCTGAATTGAGGGAGCACCATATGTAGACTTGCATGGGATCCAATATTTATTTAACATACTTCAACCTTCAATATGCCATTGTATCCTCCATAGCGTATATATAGACAGAATACCCAGTATTTGGGGAGATTTGTTTTCAAAATGTTCTATATATTTTGTTCTTGAAAAAGAGAATGAAATGTAAAGCCTTTTTGGCACAGACATGAATTATGATAACCTAAAGAACGCCTCTATTCAGACCAATGGCAGAAGCAGATGTACAGCAAATCTTATGCAGGTGTTCTCAGAAAAAGATGGTAAGGAGTTGAAAAATTGGGGCTTACTCCTAAGTAAGCATGTAAAGAACTGCTGCTCTAAGCAGCAGCAAAGGGGTTTATAAGGAGCTGCAGAATTGAGGCACAGATGAGCTCAATATCTGGTTTTGGGGTGGTCACGTTTTCTGTATTAAAAGATTCTAGCAGAACAAAGTCTCTTACTCTTAGATTATAAGAACTCAATCTGGGAACCAAGGATGACAGTTCCTTGGAAACACACAAAATACAGGTAGTCCTTGACTTATGACTGCAATTGAGCTCAAAACTTCTGCTGTTAAGTGAGACATTTGTTGAGTGAGTTTTGCCCCATTTTACGACCTTTCTTGCCACAGTTGCCAAGCGAATCACTGCAGTTGATGAGTTAGGAACCCGGTTGCTAAGAGGATGGGATTTTCCCATTGATTCTGCTTCTCAGAAGATGGCAAAAGGGGAATCACATGATTCCCCTTGGGACACAGCAAAGGCCATAAATATGAACCAGTTGCCAAGCATCTGAATTTTGATCACCTGATCATGGGGATGCCACAAAGGTCATAACCAGTGGTGAAATCCAAATTTTTTTACTACCTCTTCTGTGAGCGTGGCTTGGTGGTGTGGTGTGGCTTGGTGGGTGTGGCAGGGGAAGGATACTGCAAAATCTCCGTTCCCATCCCACTTCAGGGGAAGGATAGTGCAAAATCCCCATTCCCTCCCCACTTCTGGGGAAAGGATATTGCAAAAGCTCCATTTCCACCCCATTCTGGGGCCAGCCAGAGTGGTATTTGCCGGTTCTCCGAACTACTCAAAATTTCTCCAGAACCTGTCAGAACCTGCTGGATTTCACCCCTGGTCATAACTATGAAAAACAGTCATACGTCACATTTTTCAGTGCCATTGTAACTTTGAATGGTCACTAAACAAACAGTTTTAAGTCAAGGACTACCTGTAAGGCAGGCTGAAAGATAACTGCTTGGCAAATCTTTCTCTAGAGGAAGAATAGCATGGCAAGATAGCATGCTGGTTCTCTGAGAAGACCATTAACTATTTTTCTGCTGTTCACTGTAGGTGGTATGCAGTCTCAGAATTAAGCTCAAAGTACTATGTTTAATATAGTTTGCAATTCTGGAAATCTCCTAAGACCTTCATGGTGTGCTAACTCTGCCTGCCTTTAATTTTTATTTATTTAAATTTTTTTTGCTCAAAACTCATTTGAAAAAATCTTTTAAGTCTTGAGAGTTTATCCAACTGAGTGGAAGCATTAAAAAAAAGATTGTTCATCCTTTTAGATCTCTATAGTGCTTAAATTGAGACTGAAGACGTTTTGTGGGAGGAATCAGCATTTTTGGCAAAAACCAAAATCAGTTTGCCAACCCCTTCTTCCTAGATGTTTTTTTAAAGCTTCTAGTTTGACCTACAGCCCAGGAATTTCCTGGGATGTTCTCTCATACAAGTAGTAGCTGGAGTCAATCTTGCTTAGTTTTTTGAGATTAGCCAAAGTCAGGTGGTTCCATGAAGTTTAAGTGTGTAGTTTTTTCTCTGTGCTTTTAGATAGCTCAACTGTCTGGCAATTTCTTCCGAATTTTCCATCTCTGCCTTACTTCATACTATGAAGTATATTTTCTTCTGCATCCAGCATCATCTTTCTGTGGGTCAAAAAGAGCAAGAGGGCAAGTCAGATGTCCTAATGCAAATCATATCCATTTGGTAGATGTCTGCTAATGCCAATGCAAGTATAAACAGGGTGAGACTTCCACTGCAATGCCACAATCATCATCTTGCTCATTTTGAAACACCCACCCCAAAAGATGCCTTCCTAATTAAAAAAAAAAAAAAGACTTACAAATGTCATTATTAAGTCCCAGTTTCTTCCTAGAAATGAAATTTAAAGTAATTTCTGTTCCTGGGCCAAGTTACTTCCTAGGCAGCTCCAAACCCAAGCCATTTCACTGGCTACATTCAAACACTGTGTTTGTCCATGGTTTCTTAGGTCATAATTGGCTGGGTTCACCCTAAAGCCATAAATGATGGTTTATAAATCTCAGTTGGTTGGCTTTCCTGCAACTCACTATAGCTGAATTCAATTAGTGTGATACATAGCCGTCATGTATGGCCTCAAGAATTATAGATCCACGTGCATGGCAAAATAATTGAGAGATGCATTTGAAGGATCTCACTGCAGTCCTGTTCTGCTTTTATACAGATCCATCACTGAAATGAAAAGGTGGGCTTTTTGGCATTACAAATTAGCAGGGCTTCATCATGTGTTCCAACAGAAGCCCCCTTCATCCACCCTGGCTTTGGCACTCTCTCTAGTGAAATCTGGCAGGCAATTAAAACAGGAGGTCCTCCGAGATGGATTGCACAAGCTGTTTCCGTGAGATGGATGCCAAACAGGAACCTTCTCATGCAACCTTTTGAACAATGCAGGGAAAGAAAAGCTGCCTTAACATGCTGAATCTGCTGTTGTTAAAAGATGAATTCTTTGATGCTTTGGGATACATTATTATTTCCTATTTAACAGAGTGCATCACAGATTACTCAGAGTTTACGGGCCCTTGGTGATTTCCAGAGGTGGGGGAGGAAATGCAACCTATAAATTTTTGGCATGCAGCTTGAAAAAGGAGACATATTGGTAAGAGGTCCTCTCTGACCCCTGTTCCGGAATGGGTAGCAAGCTTTTTTTTTTTCCCATTGAAGAAACAGATTTTTAAAAAGAAAAATAAGATGAGCAGCATGCAGTACTGCACTCTTGATCTCATCTGCATTATCAAGAAAACTTGATCTCTCTTCTCTCAGAAGTCATTGATTTTTTTGAGTTTCCGCCAATAAAATCTGCACATTTTCATATAAGGAAAAGAATAATTCTGAAGCAAAGAAGCATTATAAATTTTTGGATAATAAAAGTATAATCCACAGTATGCCTTTTGAAAGAGATTCCTCTGTCCTGCAGTTCTTCAATCAACCTGTTTTAATTTTTGTTCCTGTTAAAGAGAAACCAGCAAATGATGTATCTCTTTGTAAAATGTTTGTAAAACTTAAAAAGGCCATTCCTCTAGAAAGGCCATCACTGAGTTGCAGTATACTGTATATTCTTTCCAAGCAGAAGATCCTCAATTTTGATCTTCAGAATTTTAGAAAAGAGCTTGGACAGGAAGGCTTTATATCTAGTCAACAGCCTATTTTGGTTGTTCCCAACACGGTGCCTAAAGGTGAATACTTCACTTTCCTTATTATTTCCCAGGCTCCCTGTCCCATTGGACTTTTTACATTTAAGAACAACAATTTTATTTAAAACATGGAAACAATATAATATATATTAAAATAAAAGTATCAGGAAAATATGACAAGATATGCTATCCAACCATAATTTTTATTTTCTAGAATGCCTTTGAGATTCAAATGGGCCCTTTAAGTTTCCTCACAATATAGAAACAATAAGTAGCTGCAAAAGCCCTGCAGTAGAAAATGGGCCAAGCGGATCCCACAAAAGACAAAGATAAAATAAGCAGGACCCTAAATGGTGTCCGGTAGGATGGGATGCCTAGGAGGACAGGCAGTATTATGGTGAATTAGTGTTCTGTAACAGGTTTTGTTTCCCCCATGGCAGGGGTGAAGTGCTCCCGGATTGGGCCAGATCACCCGGTCCGGTAGCGATCTTGGCCAGTGGTTCAGCAATCCGGTAGCGGTGGCGGAGCAAAGCTCTGCCCACCTGCCCGGGTGTCATTACTTCCTGGTTTTAACCAGGAAGTAATGTGTTTTTTAATGTGTGTGCATCATGTGCACTTCCAAACCGGTACGGAAGGTAAATAGATTTCACCCCTGAAATCTACTTTAAAACCTGGTGGCCAGGTTTTAAATAAGGAAGTCCCCATCACCAGCATCATATTATAAATATACACTCTGGCCCATTTCTAAGATGGTTTTGAAGTTTATTTACAAGTTATTTAAAATAGTGTGTTTCTCAAAACTGTTGTGGGTTTTTGTTCTGTTTTTTTGCATGCTGCAGAGGCTCTTATGAAGCTTTCCAGAGAAGTCAATTATCAGGAGAGATCACTTGTCAAAAGGTATCTGAGCAAATTCCAGAGTCTCCTAACAAAGGAAGGTGTCCTTTTTACCACTATAATCTTTATAAATAATCCCTGAAACTCTATACTTTCTTAAAATCAACCTTTCCCAATCAGACGTCTTCCTAGTTAGGAACATCACAATTAAAGTTCTGCACATTCGGATGGTACCAGCTTCAAGAAAGCTGCTATCAATACTGCAGGCATCCAGTCTCTTGATTTCTTTTTTTAGCATTCATAGAGCTAGAACTGCTAAGGGGACCCATGGCTTCCATGGTGATAACAGTAATAATACATGCATGCCTATGGAGAACTTAATATAAAGCACAAGTGTTTGGCTGCTCCTAAGAGAAAAGAACATTATAGATTAAAAGGAATAGATGGAGCCCACATCCACATGTTATTTCTTTGCTGTCATGGAACATTCAAGTAGCCAGGTTGAAATATAGCTATCTTTCTGGAAAAAACCCAAATACAGTAAATGCAGGACACTGAACACTCCGAGTTCAATGTCATTTTATGATTAAGTCGCATTAATGATAATATACACATATCTGGTATATTCTGGTATATGTGCACATGGTTCAAACTAAGCCTTTGGGAAGTCTCTTTTTATAAAGAGAAAATTTTAAGTGACTTATTTGTCAGGAATCAAAATCCATCTTATTTATTGCAGTCAGAGAATTAGGACTGAGCCAAGTACTCGTAAGTGAATGATTCTGGGATGAAAAAGTGGGTTAGGCCAGAAACCATTCCACAAAACTGACCAAATACAGTGGAACCTTGGTACTCAACTGCTTTGAAACTCATTATTTGTTTGGTACTCAATGCACAAGGTAGAACTTGTCGGTGTTGGCTGCCTCATGACTCGCTATCCTTTCCAGGTGAAACAAAGGTTGATGCGTTAATCATGAGATAACTCTTGTCCTAGGCACATCTCTTTGCAGTGTTATCTTAACTTCTGTGGTCATTTTGTGTATTTTTGAGCTTTCCCCCTACCTCATCAGTACAGGTAAAGTGAAGTTTTTATTTTATTTAATCTAAAGTGTTTATTTTTAGATTTATTTCTAAAATAATGATATACAACCCTGTCTTTTTACACATTGCCTTAAAATGTGCATTGTCTTTGGTTTGGGAATGGATTACATTTATTTACATTATTCCTTATGTGAAAAATTTGTTTGGAAGTCATCATTTTTCGTACTTATTGCAGCACCCGGAACCAATTAACAATGAGTAACAAGGAACCACTGTATACTATTTTCATGATCACTATTTCATGATCATTTTTGATCATTTTTGCAGCCTTTCCTCATAACAAAGGCACATACCCCACCCAACCAAATTTGGCTTTTTATAGCGACATGACCAAGAGCAAATCTCATTACCAGTGAAGATACTGGGATGATATTGAACACTCAATCTCAATTCTTGACGGGCGAAGGGAGAGCATAAAGTTCTAACCCAATTTGCCTACCTGTTACTTCAAGCAATTTCCTATAACTAAAAATAAAAGGGCAATAACCTAACAGAATAATTCCATTAGGAAAGAGCATTAGAAGTCCAGTTATAATAGAAACCGATGATATAGTCCTTTATATGGGAAGAAGGATGCCTTGCACCTGTTGGAACTGCTGAGGTTTCCATTAAGACTCCAGGAGCATATGCCACCTACACACTTGCTGTGTTTTGGATTCCTTCATCTCCTGCCAATGACTTAACTCTTCTTCTCCACTACTGTTCTGACCCATAGAAATCCAGCCAATCATCTCTTTGCGCTTTATACTGCGGCGATTGTAAATGGAGATCATCAGGGTGACGTCTGAGAGCTGGAACAAGGCAACTTGGAAGATAAACGTCTCTTTGTAGATAGGATTTGGCTGTCCTCGTCGAACAGATGTCTTGCAACGAGACATTTCTTGACCGACAGAGTTCAGAAGGCAGAGTTTCCCATAGCTATCTGCAGGCAACATTAAAGCGGTAAAAGTTTGTTTATTTATTTATTTCTATCCCATCTTTATTATTTTCACAAATAACTCAAGGCGGCAAACACCCACCTTCCTCCTCCTATTTTCTCCACAACAAAAACCCTGTGAAGTGGGTTGGACGGATAGCGAGTGACTGGCCCAAAGTCACCCTGCTGTTTATTTAAAGAAAAATATGCCTGCTTGTTTCTCTTTCTAATACATCACATGGAGAAGCCAACAGTTTGCCTAAGGCATATCGCTTTGGCGGATTGAAATCATGGCATCATACAAAAAGCAAATAAATCAAATATTAATGTTAGGAATATGCAGCAATGTTCTTACAAGCATATCCTAGGATGTCCTTTTAAAATGCAGCCTGTAGGCTTTTCATTACCCCATATGGCTCTTTTTCTTTATGGATGGTGTTTTTTTTTGTTTGTTTGTTTTTTTAGTATTGCATTCTGCTGAAGATAAGGCATGAAATTTCATTTCAGGTATGAACAGACAGGCACACTTTAAAATCAAAGACTTCCTGCTTCTCTTCAAAGAGTTTCGTCCTCTCTTATTACTTATTGTGTGCATTTATGCCACATAGAACAAGGCCCATTTGTTTTCATCTGTACTTTAAGGCAGGGGTCTCCAACCTTGGCAACTTTAAGGCTTGTGGACTTCAACTCCCAGAAGTTGCAAAGCTGGCTGAAGAATTCTGGGAGTTGAAGTCCACAAGCCTTAAAGTTTGGAGACCTTTGCTTTAAGGTATATATGCATACATAGCTCTGTATATATATTGCGTGAGAAAGAAATGAAGCCATTTAGGAGAAAAAAGAATTTAATATATGTTCAGGATTACAATGTATGTTTATATAGTAAATTCCCAGACAAGATGTCCTAAATGCTGAAGCGGGGTCAATCACTTGTAGCCTGTTAGATATGCATGGTCACCAGTCTCTTTGGGCAACCCCTCATAGCACCAGCAAAATTCAGCGATCAATCACCCAAAAATGGTTGTACTATTTTTTTTTGTTGTGCTTGGTTGGCCTAGGCAAACTCATACACATATCACACAAAAGACATAAAATATTATTTTTAATCATGCTTGGCACATGTGAACCATTTTCTGGAGGCTTCTCCTGAAGGATGGCATAAAATTGCTGGAAATAAACCGCAAAAGTAGAAATACAGCAGAGAAATGTCATGCTTAGTAAAAAAAAGCCAGTATGGTTAAAGATTGGAAAAAACCAGATTCAAGTCCACCATCAGCCATGGACGCTCATTGCGTGTCACTTATTCTCCTCTCTCAGCACAACTTTCATTTTACAAAACTGTTATTGTAGGAAAAATGGGCAAAGGAAGTGCTTTCATTTTAAGCTCTAGGAGAAAAGTTGTGATACAACAGAAATAAAATAAATACAGATGTTTCACTAGCCTCTGAATAGTAGCAGCAGGTGTGTTTCTCATGGGGAACCTTCCAGAAGCATCATAACACAAAAAGGGTTAGTGCCAGTGAGCCAAAGAAAGTGAGCCTGATCTTTAAAAAGTCTTCTACTTTCCAGTAGGCAATTTTATCAAAAAGAATATACTGCTTCTTGAATGAGAAGTGAAACTTCTCCAAAGGGGAAAAAACAACAACAAGAAAGTCTGTTGCCTTTTGGAAAAAGCATCTTTGGGACCACTCTATAGAATCTATTCTGTGCAGGAGTAGCTTATCCATTCAGAAAATTAAAAAAAAACAGATTCTCCCTGGCTGGAAATTCCAATTTAAAGAAATATGACTGCCATGATGGGACTTGCCATGATGAACATGAAGGGATACCATGATGGAGGTTGATCTTCCTCACTGGGAATGGGGCAGAAATCTTCAGCTGGGGCTCAGTAGAACACCCACTGCTTGCTTAGCGAACACATGAACTTTGGCCCTCATACAGCTGACTCAGTTAGCTCCTCAGAACATCACATGCTCCAGCAGAAAGCAAATAGAACAGAAGCTAAATATAGGAAATAAAACAGTTTTATATGATGCACTGAAGAAACTGAATTTGCTTTGCAGGGCTGGGCCAGTAAGTGTTGTTAAATCTACATGACTATCTCAATACTTGGGATCAGGCGTTGGTCCTTATTTTCCATGCTCTACCAGGAAACCTTGCCTGAAAACAAAATACAGCTGTCTGTCCACTACAGCTTTATTCATACTGAAATATATATTCTCTGTATTTATCAAACTGGACACATCTAGAATACATCAAGTGGCGGGCAACGAAAATCCAGCAAATCTTCTCACTATAAGATACTGTAAGTCCTAGAAAATGTATCAATAACGTAGACCAGACCCTGAGGCTTAGGATTCACCCTTGACAGCATGTGGGAACGTAACAGGTTGATCCTCTTTGTTAAGTCCTGCAACAATATTTATCCTGGTATTTGCATTTGGGCTGCCTTTCCTGTGACAACCATGGAAATTTAGGCCACTGATCTCCTAGCAAATTTGTAAGAAGAAACTGCCTTCCTCCGAGCCAACTAAGAGAACATCCTTCTCAACCAGCACAGTACAATTGCCAATTTTGAATTCCTTCTAGCCTATGGCACCCAGACAAGTAATTAAACACAAAGCTGGGCTGAGATAGGCTCTATTCCATAGCAATGCTACAACATATTCAAGAAAAGGCCATCATCTAATCCAAAAATCTACTTGGCAGGCAGGCAGGCAGGCAGGCTTTATTCTGACTTCTAAAAATGTGAACTACTGCCATTATAAGAAAAATTTAAAAAGAAAAGAGCTCAATTTGGAAAGCCAATCTCCTATGACTCAAACTAGCTTATCTTTCCATTGTTCACATCCCAGAAGATAATGGCTTTACTGTGACAAGCTACAGTACTTGCTGCAATGGAAGTTTGACTCATCTGCATCTCCTACGCTTCCAACCTTGTGATGATTTTGTCAGGTGAAGCATATTTGATAATACCTTCTGCAGTCAAAGGTTACATCTCAATTATTTTCAGTTTCTTTCAGAGGAAGTCCCAAGCCAGCATTTCAGATTTGTGTTTTTCACTGCACAAATGTGCTCTTTTGCATATTATTGTTATTATATTTGTGTAGTAGAGATAAGAAGCTGGGGATATCATCACAGGCAAGCAAGGCTCTAATTATCATATGAAATCTGAGTGGGGTTTTTTTGTGTGAAGAGTTGTGAAGCCTGGGGCTTGGTTTTGTCCCAGTCTCTTGGCAGATTTTTTTTTTTTTTTTTGCCTTAATCAGTGTCTTGTGCACTATTAGGCATGCACCTTTTTGTTGTCTGTTTATTTTTTCACAGTTAAGTCTATGTTTTTAAAAGAAAGTGTTTTCACAGTACCTTTCCAAAAGCATTCATTAGCAATGCTGGAAATAATCTCATTCCAATCCTATACTGTGCAGTATTGTACATTCTTTTTAGGGGAAACAAAATAATTAAAACAAAATAGGGGAAACTGAAATTATACTATGGAAAAGAAACTTGTTCCTACATTTGTGTGTATTCCTTAGCTTAGGAAAAGTGGGAGAGAAAAAAAATTGAGTAATTCAAGCAAAATGGGAAGAAAAAGAAAAACAAATATTTAAAATCCTCATAGAGATACATTCTTGGTCTTCTCTTTCTCTTGGTCCAATCAATTTTAAAAAAACAATTCAAAGAGACAACTGGGAGAGAGAAGAAAAATAATATGTGTTTCTGGATCCAATGTAACCGATTGTGCTTAAAGGTGCCTGGCAAGCTGAAGAAAAATTTCCAAGAAATCAAGCATTCTTTCAAAATGCTTGAGAAACTAACGAACCAATAAATAAACCATGCCAACTTCACCATTCTTTAGCTGACCTTCTCCAACGCAGCTTTTAGTCCAAGGCCATCCTAGTCCATAGCCGGATTTCTGATTTCCTGGGCCAGTGTTTCTCAACTTCAGCAAATTCAAATGTGTGGACGTCCAATTCCCAGAACTCCCAGCCAGCGGAAGTTGAAAAACACTGTCCTGGAGCCTTTAGTCCAAGAAGTCAGGTAAGAAAATTCCTACCTGGTCTAATGTAACCACCAATTCTGGTCTATTTCTGTAGCTACTAAAGCAACTCATCAGTCAGAAATGCCAAAAAATACTCTAAACACACAACCTGACTCTACTGAAGCATAAGCAGCTCTGAATGACCAAACTAGAAACTACAGAGTGAAATCGCATTTCTCAAAAATTCTGTACTGAAATGCCAAAAAGAGAAGACCAAATGGCAGATGTTTTTTGTGGTTTGGAGGAATATATATATATATACAGAACAATTAAAACTCAGACCACACATTTTCTGAATAGTTTTTATCCCAGAGCTATAATTGCACTCAACAATGAACTAAAGGGCCACCATCAGTGAGCTGTTAGACAACATTACTTGGTCTGTTGTGTGGATGTTTGGGTGGTTTAGGGGTAGGGAATTGTGGTGGGTGGAGGGGTGTTTAGGAATTGTTATTTGTGTTGGGCCTGGTCTTTGGGTGTTAAGTGAATTTCGTTGTATGGGTATATTGTGTATACACATACAATGACAATAAAGTTATTATCTTTATTCATTAAATATGAAACTCAGTCAACTGAGTCAATAATAATATTGATAATAATAATTTTTATTTATTTATTTATTTATTTATGTGTGTGTGTGTGTGTGTGTGTGTGTGTGTGTGTGTGTGTGTGAATGACTGGGTCCTGGAAAACCAAAGCGTTTATGCTTACAATAGAGAAGTTATGTCCTTCCTTCCTTCCCAAGCCTAAACTGGTCTTAAGGAGCAGAGCAAACCCAATCCTAAATATTTCAAGCTAGAGTCCAAGAAAAGAAAGGATCTGCTTCCCACAAGCAGACACATTTCTATTATTTTTAATTAAACATTTCAGAATTTTCAGACAAACACACCCCCCCCGACCTGTTTGGATTCACAAGTGGGCCATGCACACCCCAAGGTTAGGCCTTTCTTTCAAAATGCCTCCCAGTGTTTGTAAGCCAGTGCTTTTTTCTTATCAAAGAAGCAAGGCAATGATAGTCCAAAATTCTACAACCACGGGATCAGGAGGTCATCTTTTTATTTACCTGGTGGTCTGGTAATGGCAAGGTTCCGGAAGTGGCTGCCTTTGATCATCTCAACTGATAGTCTGCCCGTTGTAGCATTGTAGGATAGTCCTACTAGCAATTCTGGAACTCCTCCATGGGACAGAGACTGGGTTGAAGAAGCACTGTCACTGTGAGAGATAGCCGAGAGACTCAGTTGGGAACCTCCACTCTGTGGATGAGGAGATTTTTTTTTAAAAAAAAGCCAACAACAACAAAAAGTATTAATTAGAAATTAAAATTCTTCAGTATTATACCTAGTTCTCCACTAAAACAGGCAGGTAAAATTAAAAATATAGAAATACCTCCGTTCACAGATGCCTTCTACCAGGTTGACTTTACTTGTTCATTTAGGTGGCAAAAGGCTTTATTACAATGGAATGCATATTTGGTAAATTGCAATAGCTGGATTCATACAGCATGACAGACCACAAACAACTTTTTAAATCAGAAAGGCCAGGCAGATTACATTATAGTGAATCAGTACTTTGTAATTGGTTCCACCTGCCATAGGAACTATGCAGTTCCCCATAGCCATCCTGTGAGTACCCAACATGTTCTCAACATTTGTAATATGCGTTCACAGAAATGAGTTCCCTAGATTATTAATAATCATTCACTTTTTTCATTACCAATAAAGGAGAATATTTGGAGCTCATGGTTGAAATGTGGGATTCTTGGAGCTCTCTGAACTTGGTTGTTTTCTTGTAGATGTTTCATTACCCAAACTAGATATCATCATGTGTGATAGTTTGGGTAATGAAACATCTTCAAGATAACAACCAAGCTCAAAGAGCACCAAGGATCCATCACCTTTTCCATTCTCTTATTTTGCCCATCCTGAAAATCTTCAGTTGGCTTCTTGACCACACCCAGCTCCAGTATAAGTTCTTTGTCACTGTTCCATAATATTTCTTCTCCTTGCCCCACTTTCCCTCTTTGCCTTTATATACAAATATATCTTTGTATAATCTTGATATTTCCACTTAGAAACTCCTGTTGTTTTTTTTCTTTCTGCCTTCATGCATAACTGCCTCTAAATAACTGAACCATTCCCGCTTGAAAGCTTCTCCTCAATACCCATTTTTTCTATGAAGCCTTTGCATGTACCCATGGCTTCATACCAGCTTGTATGTACGGTCAGTCTATGCATGCAATTTTACTATTGCAGGTTTTGATACCACTAGATTTTTGGATTTTAAATGTTTGAAGGGAAGTCTAAAACATCTGAGGGGGGGGGCACTAGATTTCATACCCTCAACACGATTTGTAGCATTTCTGATTCAAATTTGTGAAAATTATTTTATAGGTCAATCTTGACCATTAAGTTTATGGACAGTATGCAGTTCATGGCTGTAAACTCTCCTCTTTTATCCCAGAGAAAGGAAATGCAATAAGAACTTTAGTAATTTGTCCCCAATTTAATTCTACTTACACATAAGTTGCTCCTTGGTTCCAGAACTAGTGTGGTCTTCATTTCCCCCTCTTGGTTGAGGTGGCTAAGATAAAACAACTGCTCCCCCATCATTCTCTCCTTCATCATTTTGCGCACAGAATAGAGACGGAACCGGAGAGCGTAGCTGCTCAGCATTTCAGGTGCCAATTTAGTGAAGGTCACTTTGTCCTTGAACAATGGGTTGGGCCCTTTCTGGACACTTGTCTTCCCTCGCTGTTTCTTGCTGGGCATCAGGACTGTGTGTACCTGCCAGGTACTTGCTCCACTGCGGTCCTTGTCTGGGATATCTTTAGCTTCGACAATAGTCACCACCAATTTCTGGCTCGATGGTTTGTAATCAAAGATGACATCTAAGTCACCACATCTTGAAATTGGCTCATAGGCACTAGTATGAGCTGGAAGAACACTTGCTTCTTCATGTTCCTTTAACAGGAAAAAATACAAAATTGGAATTGAAAGCCCCGTTATTTACTAACAGATAGCAATTAAATAATAATTGCAGATCAATGATTCTGGGTACTGTCTAATTGCCAACAAGAAATGGGAAAAAAATTATATTGAGTTGGAAGAAGACAGAAGTCAAGAGGACATTTCTGCCTTTTTGGGTAGTGGAGAAAATAGAGAAAAAGAGACAAGGTCTAGGACTTCAAAAGGAATGGACAGGGGAACATAGCATGGCTTGGAAATCAGTGAAGAATGACTAAGAGTCAGGAGCTTAAGGGAAATATGGTTGGATGATTATTGGTGAAAGACAGGAGGCCAAACAGAATGGAGAGGGGGGATCCATACAGAGGAGTTACATACAAAGGATTGAATACGAAAGAGAAGTTCAGACCCAAGAAGAAAACCCTCCATTACTGAAAAGAGAAGTATGAAAGAGAAGTAAGAATTATGTTTGACAAAAAGATTTTGGGACAAATTCTTGAATGCTATCTGTACAAAAAGAAATGCATTACTGGTTCTTGTTCTGCAAAGAGCTATCCCCTATCATAAAAAGCAGACTATTCCACTTATGTCTTCATCCCTTGTGAAGGCATAAACATATGTTTTTTAGTCTTTTCTAGGCACTAAATCTAAGCCTTTTCATGTCTACAGATGACAACAAACTACACAAAATGTTTTCTTTCCTACTATTTTTCAGTGCATTTCTCCAGACTGATTCATCTACCTTTCGTCTAATCCTTTTTCTTCTTCTTTTTTTTTAAATATCAAATTTACTTTTGATAAAAGAAAAGCCCGTGAAGAGGGAGAGTCAGGTGCTTAGTTTCCAGGGTGTGTGTTTTCTGTTCAAAGGTGCTTTTTAATCTCAGATTAAAACGGGTTGCCATAGAGACCTTTCCTTTCTATTTAAACATGAACATGCTGTGAAAGAACAGGATATTCAGGGAGCAGAGGAGGTCTTCAGAAGGAATTTAAGGATTTACTCCTACAGCTGTATTTCAGAACCCTTCTAGCGCACGGATGCAGAATATTTTATATATTACTCTTTTGCTGCTGGTCACTATTTCTCCTTTCAATTGCCCTGATTATATTTTTATTTGGAAAATGGCACGGAAGTGCCAGAAAGAAATAATAACAATGATGTCGATGATGACCATGACAACTAGTTGTTAATCACCTCATCGGAGACAGGTCACCCACCATTCCTTGTATTCTGCCTGGTGCTCAGTATTCTGTCAGTTCTGTAATAAGAAACATAAAGTTTCTTACATCCTTTGTCACTATCCTGCAAAGTGGGCTGGCTGTGTTCAGCTAGAAATGCATTCCACTCCTCTGCTCGCAACAGAATACCTTATGCCACCAGACTTGAAATTTTGGGCTTAGACAACTTAGAACTTCGCCGTCTTCGGTCCAATCTAAGCGTAGTACATAAAATTATCTGCTACAATGTTCTACCTGTCAATGATACTTCAGCTTCAACCACAACAATACATGGGCAAACAATAGATACAAACGTATGGTAAACCACGCCAAACTTGATTGCAGAAAATACGTCTTCATAACAGAGTGTCAATGCCTGGAATGCACTACCTGACTCTGTGGTTTCTTCCCTCAACCGCTAAAACTTTAACCTTGGACTGTCTACTGTCAACCTCACCCCAAATGTCACATGCAACAGCTTGCCTCCCTGAATTGTGGTGGACCTCACTCCAAATGTCACATGCAACAGCTTGCCTCCAGGAGTTGTGGTGGCTCCATCACTGGAAAAATAGACTGGACAACCATTTGACAGGGATAGTATAAGGTCTCCTGCCTTGAGCAGGGCATTGGACTAGAACACCCGCCAGGTCCCTTCCAGCCCTATGATACTATGTTCTATGGTACACAAGACCGATTTCACTAAAAGATGAGTTAAATCCTGGCTTGAACACTCGAAGAGTCCAGTTGATTGATTCACTGTTGCTTTCTTAGATAATTGCAATCATTCTTCTTGAGTGGCATCCAGGCATTTGTTTGAACTACTTCATGGATCTTGGTTCCCACTGCAGTACCTATCCTGAATATGCAGACTAATCTTGCATTTTGCTGGTTAAACAATGGGCTGACAAACACACACAGAATTGGTCATGTCTGCTTGTAAGACCATAATTAACTATAGGTGAATAACTAAGCCACTTATCTGGATGTGGAAAGAGTTGGAACCTTTAAAACGATACCTGGATAATTTATAATGAGAAACATTTCTGCCTGTGCTTGGCACAGAATGCAACAAGGTATATAATATACAGTGTTCATTCAGTTGATGTTTATTATCGTCATAGGTCAGCACTGGGTTTAGTATGTAAATCAGAGGGCACCTAAGGCCTTCAGAACAAGATGCCATCTTGTTCAATGCCAGCCTTTAAACACAATCAACTACTCTGTCTTTCAAGCAAGAGGTACTGGAATAGAGAATGGTGTTTTAAGTTTGTCCTCCTCTCTCTATTGGAGTCGGAGTCATTCTAGAAATATTTGCACTTCAACACAATAGATGCAAAGATAAATTTGTGTAATAATTCCAAAATCCACTTGATAAAAAGTGTCCACAAAAGAGACCTAAAACAAGATGGATCAATGACATCAGCAAATATTGTGGGCCCAACTGGCAAAAGAAAGCTCAGGACCATATTGATTGGAAACATGAGGAAAAGGCCTTCATTCTGCAGTGGACAGACAATAGTGATGATGATGATGATGATGATGATGATGATGATGATGATGATGATGATGATGAAATGAGGAGAAGGAGGGAGAAGGAGGAGGAGGAAAAGGAGGAGGAGGAGGAGGAGGAGGAGGAGGAGGAGGAGGAGGAGGAGAAGGAGGAGGAGGAGGAGGAGGAGGAGGAGGAGGAGGAGGAGGAGGAGAATTCCAAAATAATTCCCAAATGCTGAAGAGTTCCAAAAACGATACTCTTTCTTCAGGGGAGAAAGATGGAATAAAAATTAGATTTTGCTGAATGAGGTCTTTTAAAAAGACACTACTCATCCCAGAAAGGATTTTATAAAAATATGTGAAATGAAAGAAAGAAGCAGAGGTGGAAGTGGATGGGGTGAGGTGAGGTGGGAAGACAACTTCTGCTGGACAAAACAGGCAATTATGGAAATGGCTCTAACATGTTGTTTATAACTTACATTGCCAACGTGAGATTTCTATTTCTGAATAGGTGAAAGTCTGAATAGAGTTCAGAGATGATGGAATCTTTTCAGAAAATTAGAAAATGAGATTCGGCCTTTTAGGCCTGCTACACAATGTAGCTGGAGGGGAAGCAGCAGCACAGACAGACTGAAATGAGCAGAATGCAGGTTTTTGAAGCAACTTTCCTACTTCGTACAGCCCAGTTCAGACATAATGGTTCCAGTGCAACATACACTGGAAAGAGCACAGGAGATGAGGTTTAGTACTGCCTACTCCCATTCTTTCTTCTTCTTGTAACTCTCCTGTGAGAAGGAGAATATACCAGCTTGTAAAATCATAATGTGTGTTGTCCAAATGAGGAAACTGGCTGCTCAAAAATCAAGATTACAATTTAGCACTTTTAAAATATTGTTTACTTCATTTTGTTTGCCAGAGTTATAAACTGCCTTTCCTCCAGGAGTACAAAGTAAAGTCCCTTTCTTCATTTCTTTCCCCATAACAACCTGGTGAGGTGGGTTGGGCTGAGATAGACGGAGTGGCTGAAAATTGTTCAATGAGTTTCCATGACCGACACTGGATTTCAACCTGAGTCTTTCCAATTTCTATCCCAATATGTACAAAGAGAGGATACGCATGGTATTATAAGGGATAATTAATTAATATGTAGTGACTTACTCAGAAAACTTTGCTTTGAGGATTTTTTTAAAATGTCAGTGCTGCCATCTTGCTCTGCCTCATCTCCGCTTCACTGAGGGAGGGAGGAGCCAACATATGGGGAGGGAATAAGCAGAAATTGAAACTACACTGAATGCCTGGAAGAAACATTGGCCGGATGATCCCAAGGCCACAAGCATGGGGATGGAATATGAGCATCACTGAGCCCACCAAGAATCAGGACCTAAACATTTTATTTGAATCCCACTGGGCACAAACAGATAACAGAGGAGGGGGAAAGGGGAAAGTAAGTAGGCAGATTTTGCAAAGAAACCTCAGATCTGGCCTTTACCTGGCTTTTAAACGCTTGTCTAATGAGGCAGCCAAAGGCTCTTCTATTGACTGAGTTGGGACAGGCCCAACACCAAAATCTTACTATTCCTAACAGAAGGACATGTATATTCATGGAGTGGGATGGGAGAAACTTTTGTCATCTTAATTCCACAATCAATGAAGATGATCAGAAGACACAGAAATGAAGAGGAGGGATAAGATTGAGGAAGAAGAGGAGCAGCAGGAGGTATCTTTGTATGAATCATATGGGAGGGGCTCATAATGAATGACTAAAGTCTCCTTCCTTTCAGCCCAGCCCTTGAGATAAAAGCTCAGGTGTTACTTTCTCTAAAAATAGGAAGAAGATGTAGATGAAGAACTCAATGAGGACCAAGTGATCAATTCCTTGAAGGTCAGAAGGAATGATAAAGAGGAGCTAATAAAAGAAAAAAAAGTGTGTAAAGCCTTTTCGTAAATCAACAGACTGATTATGGAAGTGCCATTCAGAGTGGAGAGACATACAAACCACTTGAGGTGACTAACCAATCAGCTGTCTGATGAGTAATTCAAGGTCCTAGAAAACTAGATCTAAAAACAAAAGCATCAGAGATCGTGCAACTATAAGATCAGGATGAAGTGGCTGCAAAGCATACAGAGATCCAGACTTGCTATGTTCCATGCTCCAAACATAGGAAGGGTCTTATTAGTCACAACCTTGGCTCAAGTTCTTTACATGAGTTGTCATAAACAATGGGTTTGTCACTGTCATATAAAAAGAGTTGTGTCAAAACACTATACGGCAGGGTAAGAATATACTGTAGTACCTAGCAAGAAACAAACTGGAGAACAAGTACCTACTTGAACAACTCAGGCAGAATGGCTACCCACAAGCATTTACAACAAGATGTCTGTGCAATATGCAGGGGAGAGAAAGAAAGTACAAGACTAATTATATGGCACTCCCTGCCCTACATTAAAAAATATTTTAGAGGCAGTAGAAAGCAACTTCCAAGATCTGCAAGTGGGCATCCCCCAGCACCCAGAGGCTACCATACAAAGACAAATCATGCACTTCAAAGATTGTTTGGAGGTGGGAGACTTCAAATGTAATTTAGCAGATTCCCTGCATGGACTGCCCCTGTGACTATGTAAGACACAACTCTCAGTGCCCCGATAGGAATTACAACAACATCCTGATCTCTTAAAATTCTAGCAAGCAAACTTGCTCTGTTAGCAATAAATGGAGTGGAAACCACAGAAGGACAGAGAGATGGATTTTCGAAACTAAGAGGAGACACTCTAAAATAAAATCTTAGTTTTCCATTTTAATTTACAATTTGTACAGTGGGAATAATATCAATCACTCTTGTAGGGTCATTGTGGAGCCAGGTTTCATATTTCATGTACACAGTCCAAGGGATTGCAACTTGTCATGATCTTTAACAACTCCTGCTAGAGGTATGTAGCATAGTCCTTGGAACTACAGTTTGCAATAATGCCTAGAGACAGGGATATGACAGTTGCTTTAAGTTATCTGTGCAGACATACTCAAGTAGAGAAGTTACTCATCTGAGCACCAATTATTGCCTTTCTGACTTCGCAACTGAACTACAAACCATGTAGATGATGGTTGTTTAGATGATGAGATGATCATACAAATCCAAGAGCTTTGAAATACGAACCTTTTATATTTGCCACTTTACTGTGGACATGATCGTATGAAAACCATCCTACTAAATGGGTTCAGAGAATATCCACAGTCCAAAAGATGGTGAAAACACAAATACCCAAAATTTGTGATTCACCATGTAGTCTTAACATAGTACATGCAAAAGCAACCATTGCTAACAAGACTTCAGAGAACTACGCACACTTCTATATAAAAATACCTTTTCTTACCTCTGGACTCCAAGCCGATGAGCTGTCAGTTTCATCATTCCCTTCAAATCCTTGGTTGCTGAAAGCTGTTTCCATTTCCAAACTCCCTTCGGTTTCTTGTCGGCTGAGGCTGAGTGTGGCACTAACATCCACCTCAGAGTCTTTTGGCTGCCCAGAGCCCCTGCTCTCCACCACTCTCGAACTGATGGATAGAAGGTCATCTTCATGAGAAGACAGGTTGTCCTGGTAACTCAGGTGGCTGAACCCATCTAAATCTAATTCATTCCAAACAAAAGAAATATTTAGATATATATACACACTCCAATTCAGGACCTTGAAATTATACTACATAGATTCTGAGTTACTAGCATGAAATAAAACTATTCCAGTTCAAAAAAGATTCTGAGGAGTCCAGATTTAGTTATAAATGACAAGACACTATTATCAAAGGTATGACCATAGTTAGTCCCACACTTAAGAAGTTTGTTTCATGTATACACTCCAATGATTGATTCCCTATGCTGAACATCATAAAAACCTATTTTCTATATCAAAGGTACACATTTTTTTTTTCAAGCTGAGAACTTGATTTGATCTTTTATAGGTTTAGCCAGCATGAAGGCCCAATCAACAGAAGTAGAACTAAAACACATGTATTAAAATAAATGACAGAATAGATACCTGCAGATTTAAATTTAATTTTACAAATAATTTATTTGCAGGTGTTATAGCTTTCTCCAATCCAAAGGCTCTGGGCAGGTTACAACACTATGAATACAAAACAATGAAATATAAACTATTTTTTTCCAGATTGGATACCACTAGTAACAAATTACAATTGAAGGCTTGGTGGAACTGAACCATCTTAAATAACTTTTATAATGAAAGCTTTATGAAACTTTGACAGTAAACTGTTCCAAAATAAGGCAGACATAGTAATAAAATGCTTTTGACATGATCTTTCTCCAAATTATTAATAATTGTAAGTGAGTGATTATGTACCACCAAATCAGAGTTTACTCTTAGCAACCTCATAGACAGATATTCTGCACGATAATTTGTTCCCAATATGGCTTTTTAGGTCTTTCAACTGTGCACCCATTGCCACTGTAATCAAACTAATGTTCAAGAAGTTTAATTAACTGTATTAGTGTAATGATTTCCCCCTTCTTTTATTAAAAATTACAATGGAAGAACAACGTTTAAAGGACTTCTGGAGCACCACAGTCAAGGCCCTTTGGGAGGCTAAGAATGATCCCTTCTATACTGCAACCCCTATATCCAGTAGAGCAGGGGTCTCCAAACTTGGCAACTTTAAGGCTTGTGGACTTCAATGGCTGGCTGGGGAATTCTGGGAGTTGAAGTCCACACATCTTAAAGTTGCCAAATTTGGAGACCCCTGCAGTAGAGAAATAAAGGAAGCAAAATTGGCAGAATCAGGAATAATAGAAATTGTTTCATAAAGTTCAGACGTGCTGCTGAGATTTCTGAACATTTATAGAGCATTTCTCCCTCATTCAAGTCTTTCTGAAGTCACCACTGCTTATCCTTTGATTTCATTAACTGAAAACCAACTCCAACCAATTCTCAGGTAAGCAAACAGATTGGCATCTGGCATACAATTCCCTATGTGTTTGTCCCGAATCAGTCTGTTTGAAGGGCCATGGGATTTCCTTCCTACAAGAATGTTATAGGATGTTTTTCATTCCACTATGAAGGCTTCGGGCACCACTGATGTTGAACAGAACATGGTGTACATCACAGATTGTAGCTCTAACATAAGCAGTACATGTTTGATATACACTTGGCACACACCAGAGCAGTAGGCTGGAAGACAGGTTTTAAAATTTAAAATAAATAAATAAAATGCCATAAGCTTTCAGAATAGAAGTGCTTCTCTAGTGAGAAATTATTTTACACACTTCCCACACACAGCCTCCCCCAGCACACATATTCAGTGCTTTGCAAATCTGGCTTGCAGCCAGAGTATCAGTTAAGCGTTAAAATCTATTTGAAGGTTAAGAAATGTAATTCAAGGGAATCTACTGACTGCCTAAGGCTGTAATCCTATGCCTGCTCTTGGGCGCCAAGCCTTACTGAAACAAATGGGGCCTATTTCAGAATACAAATAATTCAGTTTCTTCTGAAAATGCTGCTGTGGAGTTCACTTAAAAGTTTATTGTAGGATTCCTCATAAAGACTTTCCAAAAGTCGAACCAGCTATACTAGAAACAGTCGGTGAGATATATTCCAAAGTGCATGGAACACCAACTCCAGGTTTTTTCCAACTTGGCATTCTCTCTCTGGAGGGTGCTAATTGGAGAAGTCTGATCTAAACCAATATTTGTCAGCTTCAGCAACCTCAACCTCAGCATGCTGGTTGGGCAATTCTGGGAGCTGAAGTCTACCCATCTTAAAGTTGTTGCTGTTGAGAAAGACTGATCATTTAGACCAAGCAGCCTGGTTAAAAACCACCTTGACTCATTTTCTGAAGCTATACCTCAGGGCCTATGCTGCTCACAGAGTTGTCATCAGCAAAGACATCTTGATAAATACAGATAGTCCTCAACTTCTGATCACAATTGAGTCCAAATTTTCTGTTGCTAAACAAGACAGTTGTTAAGTGGGTTTTGCCTCCATTGTATGACCTTTCTTGCCACAGTTGTTAAGTTAGTAACATAGTTGTTAAATGAGTCTGGCTTCCCTCTTGACTTTGCTTGTCAGAAGGCCACAAAAGTTGATCACATGACCCCAGGACACTGCAACCCTCATAAATACATGCCAGTGTCTGAATTTTGCTCATGTTACCACAGGGAATGCTGCAAAGGTTGTTAAGGGTGAAAAATGGTCATAAGTCACTTTTTTCAGTGTGGTCGTAACTTTGAATGGCCACTAAACAAATGGTTGTGAGTTGAGGACTACCTGTAAGTTTGTCTTATCATAAAATGGTATTCATTGTGCTTTCTTAAGGAAACAGAGTGATGGCTACAGCAATCATTATTACAGTTTACCCAAGTCAAATGTTCATTATATCAACCTATTAAGGTGTTAGATGTAGAAGTTATGGGAGAAGTTAAGAAGCTTGTGAGTGCACACCTGTTTCCCAAGTACTCCTAAAAATATTTTATCCTTATTTTTATTTTTTTTGCCCATTTCATTTTTGAAGTGATGTGTTGATTTTAGATTAACATTATAAGCTTTTGATTCTATGGTTTTTGTCATCTTTACCGTTAAGTTTTGACTAATTTTAAGAGAGGCTTAGCAGAAGCGGTGCTAGTATGAGAAGAATTCAATAGGCCTCCAAACCTGGAGCAAATTCTAGACATGTTGTTGACCACTTGTATATCCCTTGACTGAGCCAAACTGGATGCATTTTTTGTTTATCTCTGCAAGTTCCGTTCATGGTTTGTTTGTTTTTTTGTGAAAGAGTTATAAAATACCTTCACTTTCAGAGGCCTCAGTACTGTATTCTTCATGATTTGACAACAAGCTGTTAAATTTTGGCCTGTGCTCCAAACCTGCTTGGATTCCTTTTTCAGAAACTCCTGATCGAAAGCTCTGCGAACGAGAAACTGAGATCTCAAACTGTTTAATCACCTCTTCATCACTGTCTGAGGATGTTGTTAGATCTTCATCATCCCCATAACTGTTCACTGAGAGAAAAAGAGACACACAGAAGATTTTGACAGCCCAGGAGGCAGAATCATCTTACACGCTCAGAAAGACAAAACAAGGCAGGAGCCACGGGATACAGGATCTCCAATGAGCTATTGGTGTTTTACTAAGAGGTGTGCCAGCTTTCTGCTAGTGATCTTCATAACAACAATGAACGTTTGTTTTTCTTTTTTTACTCCTCTCCCTAGTCATCATTCCATTTTTGTCTTTCCCTTAAGACAGGGGTGTCAAACTCAAGGTCCGGGGCCCAGATCACAGGGTACTTAGATCTGGCCCACAGGGCCGCCCTGGAAACAGTGAAGGACCGGCCTGTGGTGCTTCTGCCAGTGAAAATGGGCTCCCAAGCTCCGTTTTAGGCTGCCACAGCCTCCTGCAACTCTCTTCCAGTGAAAACGGAGTTTGGGCAGCCCTCCCGAGTCCTGTTTTCACTGGAAGAGGGTTGCAGGAGGCCGTGGCAGCCAAAAACGGAATCGGAAGTCCATTTTCACTGGCAGAGCACTTGGGCCACCACAGGCGCCAACAGAAGTGACATCGAGCTGTCCATGCCCACCCTGGCCATACCCACCTCAGTCCCCCAAGGTCAAATACAACCCTGATGTGGCCCTCAATGAAATCGAGTTTGACACCCCTGCTTTAAGAGGATGTTTAATATTTTTTGTTTCATTTGTTTTACTTGAAGTAGTTGATTTTCTAATATCTCAATAATAAACTTTCAAGGTTTTCTACCAATCAACTTTATCCTGAATGAAGATGTCAAATGCTACAGCAAACAAAGAGGAAGCATTCACATTATAGCCCTCAAACGAGCAATGGAATTAACTCTGCAGCTGAAAAGGCAAACCTAGTAACTGTAAATCAGACACTGCTCAACCTTGCTCCCCATATCCTCCACGATGTTCATATGAGCCGTACATGATGAGTAGATATTTAAAATGCTATTTGGCTTAGACATTTATTTATGCATCACCGTTATTAATATTTTTAAACCTAGTTTACAAAGTGCTGTAGGAATGGGAAAAGAAATATTTATTGGAGATCAATGATTATCATCTGAACTTAATTACAAATAAAAAAGCCTCCCCAACTATTCCAATCTCCATTCTACCCTGAAGGATAAGGTATACTCATGTCATAAATGAACCTGGATAGCATTTCAAGATCAGCTGCAATACTCCATATCAATTATTTCTCTCTGCTATCAATGTATTGGATACAGACAATTCCTGCATAGAAAGTGCCATTAAAAGTCCCACTGTCAGGGTTCCTACGGATGCCCTAATTAAACCATGAGCCTCGAGCCAAGCATCAAAAGAAATCCAGTTACCGTATTTTTCGGAGTATAAGACGCACCTTCTTCCCCCCTAAAAGGGGGTGAAAATTTAGGTGCGTCTTATATACCGAATGTAGCCCCGCCCAGCCACTGGCCCCCACTCTTTGGCCTCTGCCTCGCAGCAGTTACCTCCTTGCAAGCAAACAGCAAGAAAAAACAGCTCCTTTCAGCTTCAGCATAGCCTAATTAGCACAAGTTGATTCCATCTGCTTCCCGACTCTCAGCTGATTTGCTCTCAGCTGTTTTGTGCAGGCTCTACTGCTTGCTGCAAAGAGGTAAATTGCTGGAGCAGATTTTTTTTCCCTTGTGCTAATCAAGCTATGCTGAAAATGAAAATGAAAGTAAAGCTTGCTGTTTGCTGCAATGAGGCAAAATTGCTCAGAGGCAGAGGGAGATTTCTTTTTCTTCTTCTCACCAAAAAAGGTAGGTGCGTCTTATACTCCGAAAAATACAGTAGTTATTAGGAACAACATGTCGGCACATACCCAAATGAAGCCAGCTCTGCCCCACGTAATTTACAGCCCAATTATGACCCTGTCCCGCCCCACCCCCGGCCAGGGTGTTGCTCCTAATAAATAACTGGATTTCTTTTGAAACTTGGCTCGAGGCTCATGGTTTAGGCCAGGGCTGCTGTGCGAGTTGACACCCAACTTCTTTGCTACTTGGTCAAAGTCATCGTTTTGATGGTCACAAGATTCGCTTTTTAAATATAGTCAGTCGGTCAAAAGCTCTGATTTAGCCCTGGCCTAAATCTTCTCCTTTTTTAAATTTAAATTTTAAACACAAATTTTAATCTGTTTAATTATGGGGTATTTTAAAATTCAGCCTAAATTATTTAATTTGTTTTAATCTATTTTAAATTTTTATCCTCTGGCTGTTCACCGCCCTGAGTCCTTCGGGAGAAGGGCGGTATAGAAATTTAATAAAATAAATAAATAAATAAATAAAAACTCTTGACATGGGGTGATAGGCACCATGAAGTCTTATGTTACTGTTGATTAAGGCAGCAGAACTGATGGGATTGTGAAGAAAGCATGCCTGACAGATCTCCAAGTCCTCTGGGCCACCAAAGAGAAGGCCATCTCCTATGCTGGATACAAAATACAGTAAGGCTAACAACATGTTTGTGCAAAAGAATAACTAGCCCTCAAAGACATGAGCTCCATATTCTTTGCATATATTTTTGGCAATACTGAAAAAAAAAAAATCTGCGTTGCTAGAGCTGTATTCCTTTATCCTTAAAAAAAGAAAGAAAAAAGCAGTACCACATAGTAACACACTTGACAGCTGGTATATTCAAATGCATCTGACTGTGTGTGTGTGTGAGAAAGAGAGAGAAAAAGAGAGAGAATGAGCACACACACACACACAAATTGTCACTTATATCCACCACTCCCCCACCCTAGCAGTTCCCAAAGGAAAGATTTCTCCTGTTGTTTGCCTGGATGCAGATGGCAAAAAAAAAAATTAAATTAAAAATCAAGAAGCGGCACACTATTTTTTTTTTTTGTATCAATTAGTAGATGATGGTGTTGAAACACCTGCTTTTTCATAGCCAAATTTGTAAGCTTAGCTCATACCTCAAACTCACTCTAGAAATACCCCCCAAAGCTTTGCAATGAGGCTGTAGGCCAGTGGTGGGTTGCTTGCGGTTCGTACCGGTTCGCAAGAACCGGTAGTAAAAATTTGTAGTTCGGAGAACCGGTAATAACATTGGCTGGCCATGCCTCCGAACCGGTCCCCGGCCCAGTCGCCGCTCGCTTACCTCCCCACACCTCATCAGAGGCTTTTATTTTTATTTTTTTACTTTTAAAAGCATTTCTTCTACAACCTCTTCGGCCGAAAAAATGCTTTTAAAAGTAAAAAAAAAAAGCCTCTGGCGATCCCAGCTGAGTTGCCTGATCGTCAGAGGCTTCTAAAAGCATTTTTTTTCTGCAACCTCTTAAGGTTGTAGAAAAAATGCTTTTAAAAGTTAAAAAGAAAAAAAGTTGGCCACGCCCTCCCAGTCACATTACCCCACACCAAGCCACGCCCACAAAATAAGCCATGCCCACAGAACTGGTAGTAAAAAAAATTAGAACCCACCCTTGCTGTAGGCCATGGGTCTCCAAACTTGGCAACTTTTAAGACTTATGGACTTTAACTCCCAGAATTCCTCAGCCAGCAAAGCAAAGCTGGCTGAGGAATTCTGGGAGTTGAAGTCCACAAGTCTTAAAGTTGCCAAGTTTGGAGACCCCTGCTGTGGGCATAGAAAAGTCAAGCATTTGCAAGCCTAAAATAATGTAGCAAATGCTTTGATGTCAAAGTCACAGAATTGGTCTTATACCAATTAGGCACAAGAATCCAGTCTCTCTATTAACTGAGAACTTCCATACCCATGCATTTCATGTATGTGCATGGTATGTATAGCTGTGAGTATACACAGCATGAAGATTTCAGCTTCCGTTTCTTTTCCCTTTACTCTCCTCTATCCATAATGCTAGAAAATAATATGGATTTGGCTCTCCTTTATGTAACTAATCTCCCTTCCCTGCAGACAGAGGTCAAATGTATAAATAATTACTGTAATACTAGTTATTATGTTTCCCATTGTATATGAAAAAGATCCAAAGACTAAAAGAAAAACAGGGATTTTTAAAATTTATCTGCATTCCCCCTTTATTATCTTTAGAAGTAACTCTGGGCAACAAACATATCCAGGACACATTTCTCCTCCTATTTTCCCCACAACCACCACCATGTGAGGTGGGTTAGACTGAGAGTGTGTGACTGGCCCAAGGTCGCCCAGTTGGCTTTCACAGTTAAGGTGAGACTGGAACTCATAGTTTCCTACTTTCTAGCCTGGTGCCTTAACCACTACACCAAACTGGTTCATACAGGGGGCTAAGCATTTAGGTGCCTTCAGGCTTATGCAATTGGATACAATATAAATTAATGAAGAAAATAGATGAAAACATTGCATAAACTTTCTGGCTTATGGCTTACTATAATAGAGAACTTTAACCGCTATGACGCTAAGGCACTGAGCTTGTCGATCAGAAAGGTCGGCAGTTCGGTGGTACGAATACCTAGTAGAGGTCTCCTGCATGAGCAGGGGGTTGGACTAGATGACCTCCAAGGTACCTTCCAACTCTGTTACTGTTAAATACATAGTTAATGTGAATGATGAATGGCATAAGGTGCTTAACAGTTGTTAGTTAAAATGGGAGCACATTTCCATTCCTTCATTTCTTGGATTTTGTTTTGTCTCGGTGAATTAAAAAAAAAAACAACTGGGAAAAATCAAATATGGTGCTTAAAGTAAAAGCTATAGTTTGCTACAATTAGTCACTGGAAGAAACAGGGTGCTAGGCTACTTTATTCTTTTGTCTTATCTAAAACAAGGAAGATAAATCTATCTCAGCATCTACTTCTGTCCTACTATCGCAGCACCATTGAGAGTGTCCTGACATACGGCATTCTTGCATGGTATGAGAGCAGCTCTATAGCGGACAAAAATGCTCAACAGAGAATCATTAAAACTGCCCAGAATATCATCGGACTCCAGCTACCAGCCCTGGACGACATCTTCGAATCTCGCTGTTTGAGAAAGTTGCATAACATTCTCAGAGCCTCTCCCCATCCTGCTTACAATCTTTTTGGACTGTT